ATGACATTCTAGCCGACGAGACGGACGACTATGACGATGACAAGACTAGAACTGCCACTGGCACTGGTGCCCTGCAGAAGGCTCAGAAACTGAAGCAGCTGGCCAGCGTGGCCTTTGCACCGATTACCGTTCTAACCAAACCTGACAGACCCGACAATTGGGTGATCTATAACAAGGCCAGTGAAGAGCCGCCTTTGCCTCAGTCGCCGACCCTTAGCTTGGATGTGGCGCCCACCGGGGAGGTACCCACTCCCATACGTTTGTTTAACAATGGATGGAAGAAACAAGATCTGAAAGCTAAGCCGGAATCAACCACCGAGGCAGAAAGACAAACCGACAGCACAACGGAGATGGCGGAGGGTAGTGGCGCTGGAAAAGATACTAGAGAGTCAACCACTGTGGCAGCAACAGGGAGTAACTAGTAATGCCAAATTAGCCCTAGATTACTTAACATTTATTAATTTATTTACATTATAAAATCACGAAATAAATTCCAATCATCAATCATTATGCGTTGAGTCTCAATGAAGTGTAGAATCCACCATGAAAGAAGTGTTAATCCGTAGAAACTCTGTTGAATTTTGGTAGAAAATTATCCCAGGGAGATTGGATCTTCTGCCACATGGAGATCATGGATTTCAATTTACTATTCACAGTGCCAAAAATGTAACAATTCTTGGTTTGTACTTTATTACAATATATGTACGCAAAAACTAAAACTATTCATTCAGAGAACACACAGACATACGCGAATGCTTATCTATAGGTAGGTGTTTGTTTCCCCCAGGGGTTGTATTACCGGGGACCCTGTTTCGACATTAATTTCTAGTTTCGGCATGTCCAGTATACAATACAATATAATATATAATATAGTAATATGATTTTGGCGCAAACATTGCTGTGCTAAGTAGTGTAAATGTAAAAGTACAAGTAATTGGGTTACCATTGTAAACGGCATTATTATCAACATCATCATCAAAGTACAATTACAATTTCTACATATTTATATTTGTAATAAATTAGGCTTGTCCCCGATCTATCTGCCTCTACTTGTTAGGTATAAAATGACTAAAGATTATAACAATATAATGTACAGTTTAAGCTACAACACTTTTCGGGGGTATTTGAATATTAAATTGCATTATTTGAATATCCTAGGCGCGAGAAAATTGAAACATTCTACTAAAATTAATCATAGTGAATACATCCGATATCCGGTAACCGGTATACGGTGTCCACATTCTGCTATCGCTAGCTAATTTAACTAGTCAACCTGTGCTCTGCTCCTTTTATTGGTATTTACAAACGTAGTCGAATCTCCTCTGGTGGTTTTTCAGTACGTCGCGTAAATGCAAGTTTGAGTTGGTTTGAGGGTCTTGTGCGCAATTCATTACCATCGTATTTGATGCTTGTACTGCTCATCTACGGCAATTCGCTTGATGGTCTCGTAGCCAAGGATAATGCTGAAGGAGAAGGCCGCCGACTGCACCAGGCGGGCGGACAGGCCCTTGAAGAAGCAGTTCAGTTTCTCCTCACGCCACAGCTCGCGGAAAGCAAGGCTCATCGAGTCCAATCGATGCACCTAGACAGAGTGACGAAAACATTATGATACAGATAAGGTATTATATTTATAACTCGCGCGGTGGGGTGTACTCACCTGCAGACGGGCGCGCACTATGTCTAATGGATTTGTTAGTATTGTCGTTGTGAAGCCACCCAAACTGCCGGCCACGCATTGTATAAACAAGTGGGATACCCAATCGGGGCAGATGCGACAAAGTTCGTCTGGAATGAAGAGGCAATCCAAATTAAATTAATCTTATCTGGCTAATGGAAGAACTTTGCGGTCTGACTCACCCTGATATAGATGATAGAAGGCCCACCACATTGCCGAATTGGGTACATAAGCCATGAGGCTGGCCATATAGCCTCTGTAGAAGCCGCGCAGACCATCGCGACGCATTATCTCCCGCCCGATGTCCATAGAGATATGGAGGCGGCTACGGCCGGGCCATGATTTAATACCCAACGGATTGATATCCCCCTTGCCACCGGCATGCGCCGACATGCCGAGCACCATGGCATGCTGCGATATAACATCGAAAGGAACTATGATGGTCTGACCCACCAGCGAGGCGCATCCGCCTCCGGCTAAAGCTTTCACACGGTGTCCAGCACCCAGATCGGTGAGAACGTGTCTCACGCCTTCGTAGGTGCTGATGTAGAAGACGCCCGATACGATTTGCACCGACGATATCCAGAATCCTCGATATAGTCCGGGCACACCCTCGGATCGGTAGATTTTCATGGCACAGTCCACCATGCCCTTGTAGACATCGCTCTTGTGCTGCACCTGGAGCTGCGTCTTAATCACGGTCAGCGGGAACAGACAGCAGCGCACCGAGAACGAGCTCAGCATGGAGAGCGGAAAGAACTTGGTTTTGTTCATCATGTTCCACTCGATTGTGCGTATGTAGGGAGATCCGTCCACCCCACTGCTCGTACCAGCGGCTCCGCTGGACGCCACAGTGAGGTGTGTATTCGTTTCCGCCATGATGCTACCTGTCGGACACAGTGCGTCCGGAGTGATGCGCTTGCATGCGGGGCACGTATGTGAGTGATGCCGATGCGGATGTAACGCTTTCTTCTAGATGAAGAGCACTGTTCAGAGCATCTTCGGGCATTGACGGCGGGTGCATTCAACCAGCATGATGTTTATCATTCACTTAGTTTCCTGGGTATTCTCCCTTTGTTTCCGTTCTCGTGTGTGTGTGTATCTGTAAAGAACAAAACAACATCTCAGTGTTGACGCAACTCGAACGCATACGCACGAAAATCATTGCGAAGGCCTCAAGGTCGCGCCATGACAGATCGAATCTTATTTTGGGGTACACGCGGCCCCAACCTTTGCTCAGTCGCCAAGGCAAAGGATGATGTCCGGCCGGAGTTTTGCGTAATCCCAAGGGCTATCTTATCTTCCAGCACCATTCTCACATTTTTAATATTCGAGTTTTCATTATATAATGCGCAGACACAAGGCACCACCTGACTGAGTGGCCACCCAACGCCTCACACCGCCCCCACCTCCGACAAAACATTGTGCGTAAACAAAGTTTCAAGGTGGAGTTCTCTCCATGCCCTGCACTGCATCAAAAACCATTGGGGTGGGTGTTCACCTGTTCGGCACTTGGTTGTTGTTGTTGTTAGCTACTTACGCCTGTATGAATGGACTTGATTTGTACAATAATTGTATAATAAAACATAGTAAACAGTGTCCGCGTATTTATCGATAAAATCGTGAGGGCCTCGAAAATATACCGAAATATAATTTTTCATTTTCAAAAAATACCGTAAAATATACCGTGAATCTAAAAGCCTTTTCCTCAATTTTGATGTTCAGTTTAATAATACCATCTGGTTAGGACTCTCAGCTTTAAAAATGTAATTTTACTCAAATCATCATTAAATTCTACATAGGATTTGTTGATTTTATGATACATCTTTCCTTAATTGATTGCATAATAAGGTTAAAATTAAAAGGGTCAACCAAATAATAATATTTGTAAATCCCTTTAATCAACTGCTTTTAACATTTTCATATGTTTTGTATGTATCAATATTCTGGGATTTATTTTCAAAATCTCTATTAATATTTTTCAATGGATCTGTTTCAATACTAATAATGGGTTCCATAGCAGTTGATCCAATTGAAAAATTGGACCAACTATGGAATGTGGATCAATTGGAAATTCTCCAATATCAATGGGTCCCATCGCCATATCTGTAATATTTTTAATTGGATTAACTGCATCTACTGTAATTTAGGCAATTTTATGTTTGGGAAATGCTACAGAATTTTGTTACTATATGTTATATTTAAAAAATAAAAATACAATTGAGAATACAATTAGTAAATTAAATTTGGAGAATATTTTGCTGCTAACTTTTCGCAGCATGTTGCTGGTCCATACAAATTGTGTTGCCAACGGTAAAATACGTAAGTAGTGTTGGAATTCAACGTAAGTGGGGATGGAATAAAGACTCATTGTTGCGATGAAAATTCCGATGTTGCGAGAGATAAATATCCCTTTAAAAGAGAGAGAAAATTTCCTACGGAGAAGAGAGAACGTCCCTATATATTGAATATACTTTAAAAATTGAATTTAATGAAATCCATTAAATATACATAAAATATAGGTAAAATTCAATTAAATAAGGATCATGGAAAACAGGTTAATGCAACGAAAACATGCAAATTCCACCACATTGCCGAAGATACCATGAACTTATCACGCTACGCAGTACTGGCACACGCAACGTAAATCCAGCAGTCTGGCAGCGCCATGACCTTAGTTTAAGTGGTTGGCAATTCTGGAGATTAAGTTTCGCTTGAATTGAAAATTTGAACATGAAATTTGCATATTTGCGATTATAATCATTAAGATAGGCATTTATTAGAGAATTCTCTTGAAATTCTATTGAGAAAGGTTTTTGAAGTTACCTCTTTGATAAAGCAATTAATTAAACTAATGACTACCACAAGATTAGCAAGAAATGATTTAAAACTGTCTTAAACATTTATTTAATTTTAATTTGGTTTTCAAACTAATTAACGCCCACGCAGACCCACTATTGGCCACCGTTCCTAGGAGCATTTGAACCAATGAGCAGCCTCTGGGGGCGTTCTGCACCTGCGCAGAGCACAATCCACAGCATCCTGGCGCATCCAACCCCATTACACAGACACCCCCTAAGCCTAAGCACAGCCTGAGCCTGGTCGAATCCTGTAACGGCGTCACCACGGCAGTTATCACGGATACTCGAGAACGTCTGCACGATGACAACGGAATGCGTGCCGATCAGCAGCGACAAGTGAAAGCCATCGAGTGCTGAATAATTGAATGTTATTGATGTGCAGAAACAAAGCGGAACGGGATCCTATTAGTGAACATTTTTACCCGCAGCCAGCGCAAGCAGCGCCATCAAGTTCAAGAGTGTGGGTCCGGTGTCCGTGAGTGAGTGTGTGAAGTCGAGCGTGCCATCTGCACTTTCCACTAAATGGATACCGCCAAATTGGTAAGATTATGTAATCCATTCAGACAATCGAGCGCCTGAGCCAGTCCAATGTATCAATTAGTCTGCTTAAAGCTTTTATTTCTGTTGAATCTGACATAAATTAAGGGGTTAATACATGGGATGGGACCCCCCCATGTGGGGGAACTCAGCCGTAGCTCAAGGTGTAGCCCATGTTCTCCATGAGGGTTTCCTTGATGGCCGGCTGCAGGGCGCGCTGCATGTAGGTGGTCAGCAGACCGCGCACTCCCATGGAGAAGAGCTTCTCCAGCTCGTGGGACATGGCCTCGCCCACCAGCTCATCACGATCCCCGCTGTGTCCGCCGCCACCGCCACTCGCACTGAAGATGTCCGCAAAGGCTCTGGCATCTGGTTCCACCATCTGCTGCAGTTGCTCATCCTCAAAGTGGAGCACATCCTCGTTGAAGCTCATTTGATCCACGAAGTTCTCCGTGGCTCCGTTATCTGCAAAGCGCCGACGACGACGTCGCCGCCTGTTGAACTTCCGCCGGTAGAAATTGTCCCCGTTGACATCCACAAACTCCGACGAGTCCTGGCCACGGCTATCGCTGCCCAACTCCAGGCTCTTGTCCCGCTGCGTGGTCTGATCCAGCCTGATGTCGTAGTCCGGCTTGTGGTACTTGCCCCACCTCTGGGGCTGCGGTCGCGTCGTGCCCATGATGACATGCGGCTCGCCCAACTCCACCTGGGGAGCGGTGCCCGCGCCGTAGCCGAATCTCCGCTTCGAGTTCTGTCGCAGCCGAATGCCAGTCGGTCCCTGGCAGCCGTGTGCAAAGACTGAGATGAATCCTGGCTCCGCAAAGTGAGAATCCGTGCGCACGGAGGAGGCGCTCAATCTCCTGGACTGCTCATACGTGTGAGGCAGCGCGCCTGAGCCCGCTGGCTCCATGCCCAGTGGCACAGTGCGGAACTCGATGCCCGCATGCCGCAAGCGGAGTATCATGTGGCAGCGTCCACCCATGGGCTGCATCACAACCTTGCCGCTGAGCGTGAGATCCGGGAAGATTAGCCGCGTGTCCAGTGTGGAGTTTTCCGTGCTGAACTTGCACTTGTCGATCTCCACCCAACGTGCGGCGGACTTTGCCGGCGGCACACGCACCTTCAGATCCTCAACATCCACTCGGGATATGTCCAGCTTGTGCGGCTGTCGGTGCTCATGGTGCTGTTGGTATTGCTGCTGCTGCTGCTGCTGCTGCTGCTGGTGTCCAGAGAGCAGTTCCTCCAGCTCCAACGCAGCGGTGGAGTCCGCAAACGGATAGGGGCGCCCATTCCTATGCAGCAGCTTGGCATGGTAGCCACGCCCCGAATTGTAGCTGCCACCCGCATTGTAGAAATCATCCTCGGGATCACTGTGCTGGCCATAGAAGCTGTGGTACAGCTGGTAGGGACTCTGCGCCGGCGGCTGCCACATGGATCGCGAGCGAGTCCGATCGGTGGAGCTCTTGGTCTGAATGCTGCGTCGTCGCATGTTCTCCAGGGCGCTCTCCAAGCGATTCGAGCAGCGATGCGGCACCTGGTACGGTTGGCACAGAGCCACTGGAAGGAAAGCCAGAGGTATTATAGCTGCTCGAGGGAGAGCAAAGACTGATTACTTACCCTGGATCACGGCGCAGATCAGCAGCAGAGTGCACAGCCAAAGATAGTCCCGGCTACTGTGTTCTGACATGTCGCTGAACTGAACATGGAGCAGGTAATTCTGAGGCACTCTAGCGGCTGTTTTGGGGTATGGAAAGCTGAGAAGAAACACCTCCGTACTGGGCCAGAGCTCAAACGAAAATGCAAAAGGCAAAGCAGGCGAAGCGAACAAACCGAGAAACTTGCTCGGTCGCGCTTCCATTGCCACAGCCACAGCCTAAAGCACCCACAAGAAGAGCGAAGACAGCAAAGACTTTGGAGACGACCGTGTCACTGCCTCCTCATGTGCAGTGAAAGTGTTTTCCACGACAAGCACAAGCACAAGCCCAAGCCCAAGCCCCAGGTGGAACCAGAGGCAGAGCCAGCGGTACAGCCAGCGACAGAGTTGGAGTCGGAACGCACCTCAGCGTGGAAACAAAAGACACCAAAAAAGCAAGCAGAGAAAAAAAATACGTAAAAAGAAAAGCATTGTCTCCTGTCGGCCTCTTGTGCCCTTCTGTGCGCTGCCTCCTCTGGTCTCGTGTGGCGGCTGCTGCAAAGTAGATCAACCTCACAGGTACACAGGTACACAGACACACACCCACAGAGGCACTGTCAAATTCAAAGTAAATACAGCCAAAGTTTCGTAATGTCAGTTGCGGGCGCGCATGCGTCGTAATCTTTTGCAACAACCCACCCACCCTCGTACCTTGCTCTTTGTTTGCCAGAGTTCAAAGTTGATTCATCGAACGGACGCGAACGATTGTCAGTCAGTCACCGGCAGCCAACGTTTGTTTTTCCCAACTGCAATCGTAATTGGCATCAATTGCGCATACAAATTAGGGCCTAATGGTAGGGCCCTGAAGTACACTCTAAGAGTATGCAAAGGGTATACGGTATATGTATCTCTTTCAGCTGCAGAGCCACTAAAGTGTGATTGGAACTAAACTATTCGAATTTGAAGTACTATTTGTTATTGAGCACCTTTCGGAGATATTTATAATGGCTATATTTTGATATTACAAAGATAACATTCGATATTTAACGATCAATCTTCGAAAAGATTTCAGGAAACAATTTCATTAAGAATTCAATTTTAAAGAAATTTCCATAACATTCTTTTAAGTGTTTCCTTCTTTTTTAACTGCAAAAATCTGGGAGTAAGCTAGGAAATGCTTCATCATAGAACACCTAATGATAGATTATGAGCCAAAGGGCATTCCGTAGTCGTACCAACGCTTTCGCCTCTAAGCCCTTGTTGCAGCTGCGCACGCGTGGCAGGTGACAACGCTTCGCTGGCTTCCTCTGCCCCCCCCGCTAAATCTGTGCACCTCCGTGTGCGCCATGTGCTCGTGACAGTTACACTAAATAATTGTGGTAATAATTTGATTTGACAAATTGTTTGCTTGCACTTAGCGAGCGCAGGCAAACGACATATTTTGCAATTTATCAAAAATTGGTAGCTGCAGGAAAGCGGAAGCAAAACTGTTTAGCGATTGCCAAATGTAATCTGCTTCAAGTTGAATGTACACACAACATTGAAGATTTACATAACCCACGGCTGGGAGGAGGAGAAAGCTGAGCATTCTGCATTTCTTCTTCTGAATGTTACAAAGAGCGCGGTGCGGTGCCGCTTTCTGCGTTTCGAAGAGTATCTATCTGGAGCAGGGCTGGCACTGATGCTTCTATTGGTGATAGAGCCCAACCGGCAATGATTACGGGCATGTAATTAGGGGTAACTATCGTACAAATGATTCTCGAATGCGACGGTGCACATCGCATCGCATCGTTTGGTGTTCCAGTTTGCAAATGTCAAGTGAGGGATACGAAATGCACTTTGGGATGTAGGTCGCCAGCAGATTGTTCAAAAAAAACAAACACTTGGAGATGGTCTTGCCACATTTACTGTATTTCCGGTGTAACTTTATTTTATGAATAATAATGATTTGTGATTCATTCATTGTTGCATTGAGATATGATTAGACTAGGGATAGGAATTTTCAAACAATTTTCCCCCCATAAGAAAAAGAAAAGTGAAATTCCCCGCAATCTTTAATGAGGGGAGAGAGCGAGAGTGTGACCAAAAAGAAAGGTTAACCTCAACGCGGAGCTCATTAAATGTAAAAGTGTCAATAAACCAGCAGTTGGAGGAAATGGAGTTGGTGTGCCACTGCCACCATATGAGTACTCATATGAGTACTTTGAGGTGTTTGTGTGTCCAGTTGGTGCGAATTCTAGTTGTGCGCTGACAATGGCTCATTACTTAATGGGCACGACCACGGGTCCGAGGCAAGAACAACGACAATTGACACCCAGAAGCAAAAGCAGAAGCAGAAGCTGTTAAACTAATTGCCACAAGTTCCATTCACTTGACTATGTCAATGTGACGGACTGAGACTGTGGTTGGGGCTGGTACTGGCTACTGGGACTGGGCTTTGTTGTTTCCATTGTTTCCTGCAACCTGTTAGCAGCGGGTATCACTAACGCACTCAGCAGGTGGCTTTAAGGCGCCCCCTTAAAGGTCTGAATGGTCGATGCCCTTCAGGTCGTCGCACCGAAATGCTACCCCAAAAACAGAGATTTACAAATTGACAACTAATTTGAAGAAAACGCGAAAATCGAACCCCCAAAGTAACGCCCCGAAACTCATGAGTAATTTCCTGCTGCGTCTGGTTTCATTTCCTTATTCCACAGAGCGACTACAGCCAGGAGGCCAAGACGCACTTGGAGCAGCTCCAGCAGACGCTCACGCACTTGGATCATCACTCGCTTTCCCATTCGCACCCGCATCCGCATTCGCATCATCATCATCCCCATCATCATCATCATCATCCTCACTTGGCGCTCTATCATGGGGCACCGAATACATCCACGTTAACCACAGACTCGGTGGTTTCCTGTGTCAGTTCAACGTTGCCGGCCGTGGCCAAGGCCATATCCTCATCGTCGTCTTCCTCCAGTTGCGGCCACCTGGAGTCGGAGCACAAGAAATGTCACAGCAATGACCTGGATGCCGGCCACACTCTGATGGAGGCCATCTGCATTGGCCAGAAGTCAACAGCAACATCGCCGGCCCTAGCGGCCCTAGCCGGAAGCTTGACGCCGCCGCCGCCGCCGCCGCCACCGGCATCGATTGCAACGTCCGCTCTGATGAATGCCACCGCGGCCTCAAGCAGCTCAAACGGAGGTGCTGCCTCCCTGTGCAATGGTCCGTAGTGATCCTCTCTACTCTCCCATAACCATCTGCTTTAACGGATAATCTCTTATCCTTCCTCTGCAGATCTCACACGCGAGTCGGCCTGGTATGCGCATCATCATCATCACCATCACCACCACCATCACCAGCAATTGGCCGATGAGCTGGTCATGTATGCAACGCCCACGCCCACGCCGGCTATTGGCAAATTCGGTCTGGACACATCCACCGAGGGTTACTTGAACGCAAGGTACAATGGTAAGCGTCCGTCCACATCCACTCTCCACTCTCCACTCTCCGCTCTTCTCCTCCATCCACACGTTCATGCCCGGATGCAGCATACCCCTTCCCCCTCCCCTGTATGAACTGTATCTGTGTCTACTTTCTGTTTGTTTTTGCTATTTACACGTCGTCCCCCACCCATCCTTGTTTATTAATTTTCCATTATGAGTCAGGGGGGAGTTTGGGGGATGAGAAATCATTCCATGGGAATGCTGTGGGGCAGGCGTTTCCGATAGCTTGGAGTGGGATTGGCCTTTAGGCTTTGTTTTAACTTGCTTTGTTTTGTTAAGTTTTTTATTAAGAAAACATAACTGACGATGGCGCGTGCCGCGTACCTAAATATAGTAAATATATTTACAGATTCGGGATCAGCATGAGAAGGTATTTGAGGGGGTAACGAAATAGAACCCAAAAGGGGGAAACAAATTTAGAACTTAAGCAAGCCTTTGCCATCTACTAAACCATTTAGAAACAATTGTAAGCAATTTATTTTCTATTTGTTAAATTTCCCGAATGATTTTTACGATTTAAACACGAACCGAATTTATGTTTTGCTTAAGTATAAAGTACATACTCGTACTTCCCTTCTTTTTGTTGTTATCTAATCTTAGACCTGTCTTGCCATTCGATTATGGGCAAGTCAAGTGCATTTGACAAGCGCTCGATTTGTGCTCTCAAAGGCATCCCGGTGCGAGCGTTAATATGAAATATTATCTAACAAAAGCTAAAGGTTCCCTCGATTAAGTAGTGGGAGTACGAGTATGGGTAGCGTCTCTAACATTTATAAATCGGCAAGCAACCGCAAAAAATGTGTAATTTTATTTTGTGTTCGCTTTTTCTTCTTGGGTGAATCTCTGCAGTGAATGTCAAAGGCGTGCGCCATGAAAGAACATCAACTTTCTTCGATATACCCGCTGTGACGCACCCACACACCCATCCGCACCCGCATCCGCACTCACATCCGCATCCATATTGCTACAGGTAAGTGGGGATGTGGCGCTGCCGCTGCCGTTGGATTATTGAATCTCATGCTGACAAGACAAGTCAACTTTAAGTCAATCAGCAATTTTCTGGGCAGTTTCCTCTGCTATAAAATATACTATATTTATGTATACATTTCTCAATATTCTTCTTGATTTATGCTCTTGCCAGATTTCCATCATCGCCACCCGCGGGCATTCTGAAAAAGAGCGACGAAGGTAAGTCCCCCAATAACTCCGCGTTGATCGAAATGAAAAATGAAAAATGAAAAGAAAATTATTAAAGCCATTCATTCTTTCGTTCGTTCCTTCATCATTTATTCAAATTATCCGTGAGCCGTGGGGCTCCATGCCTTATCAGTTTTGCATGCCAATAACTCAATTTGTTGGGCCAAGATTATGGCTTGGTGGGTTTCGTTTCACTTACGGGGAATTACTGGTTGCCTCGTTGCGCTATTTTTTCGTTTTTACTGGATATTTTCTCAAATAAAATGAAAGATATTGCGCGCATAATTTACAATAACAATATTCGCCGGTGTTAGTAACCGCTAATCCAATTGGCGGTTCCAGAGTCGGAGGCACGAGCTTTGAAATTCAATTTCGAGAGCAACGCCACGCACTGCGATATAGTAGTTGGCCTGCGGTGGATGAGGATGAGGCAGCTATGCCATGGGGTGGCAGCATCTGTCAAACAAGCAACTCAATCACAGGCAGCCGCTGAGTGGTTCGATGGGTAGAGAGTCAGACTGGGGTACGTGGTACTCACACCCACTCCCATTGGGTGTGGGGCAGTTGCCCTTTTGGGCCGCACAGCCAACAGGTTTGCATTTCCATCAGCAGCGTCGCATCGCATCGCGTCGGTGGTATCGCTGTTGTTATCGACAATGATGTTTTTACTTGTCGACACTTGCTCATGGATTATGCAGAGGTATCTTCTGAATTTTTAATGCGCCCAGCGCCCGAGTCGCGCCCAGGGGGAGTGAAATGTGATGGAAAGACCTGGGAATGGTGGCTAATGAAAAGGGCAGGCCCCGTGGCAGCAGTGTGGGTTCGAGTGGGTTGGGTGCACAGCCAGCACAGAGAGGTTTGTTTTCCTGTTAAATTGCAGCATATTGAGCATTTTGCAGTGCCCGACTCCAGAGGGTGGGCTGTTTAAATAATTAATTGGCTGCTAAATACCTTGGCCATTTAGGTACAAAGCAGCACCAGGAACAACAGAACGAGCCAAGGGAGCTCGTTAAGAACTAGACGAAGTGTGGAATACCCTGAAGATGGTTGGAGATATATGACAAGACTTATGTGTAGCAAATGTAGCTAAAGGACACACATTAAGTGGGGAAATTCATAAACATTCTGAACATTCAATCTGTATTGCTCAACCTGTAATGCTCTTTTGTGGGGAAGAGTATCCTGATTAGTGCCCCCTTCCCTTGATGTCTCGACATTGTTTAAACGTGCATGAAAGCGGCTTTTCAACTCTTCTCCGGATCCCTTCTAGAAACGGCCAGCGCTGCCGCCGTCGCTGCTGCTGCCGTCTATTGCAACGATGTCTCCTCTGGCCAGCACTTTCAGCCCAACACAAAAATCGAGCACGCCGACTCCACCACGACAGCGGCACAGCAACAGCAGCAGCAGCAACAACAGCAGCAACAGCAGCAACAGCAGCAGGAGCATCAGCATCAGCAACAACAATTACAACATGCTGCACTGCATCCGCACCATCATCATCATCATGGACACCACCACCAGCAGGCGGAGCAGCAGGCACTGACCCACCTGACGCCACTGCATGCAGCCTCAGCCTTCAAGTTCAGCCACACGGCTGTCATCTCCAGCTCGGCTGTCTATGGCACACCCGCGCACTATGTCCACCAGCAGCAGACGCAATCCCAGTCGCACGCCGCCATCTATAGAGATCTCTCCCCCAACTCAGCGGCGGCGGTGAGTGATGGAGACCTCAAGTATGATGGCAGTCCGTACAATGCCACCATATCCTCCACCTATCCCGCGGCTCTGCGGCCCAGCGTTGTCGATTCGACCACGTCCAGCGATGCGGAGCTGCGCCTGGATCAGTTCTATGCCAGCAATGGCATCTCCACGAGCAGCAGTGGCCAGCCCATAAGCCAGCGGCGTGGCTCGCTGCAACTGTGGCAATTCCTGGTAGCCCTTCTGGATGAACCCAACACCAGGTGAGAGGCTAGACCAAGAATCTCCTACTCTATTACAATCCTTTTGTGCATTTGCAGTGCCAGTTGCATAGCGTGGACTGGCCGGGGCATGGAGTTCAAGCTGATCGAACCAGAGGAAGTCGCTCGACGCTGGGGCCTCCAGAAGAATCGTCCGGCCATGAACTACGACAAGTTGTCCCGCAGTCTTCGCTACTACTACGAGAAGGGCATAATGCAGAAGGTGAACGGGGAGCGCTATGTCTACCGCTTCGTCTGTGATCCAGATGCACTCTTCAACATGGCCTATGGCCATCTCACGGCAGGCGGAACCGGCAAGATCGATCAGCACCAGTTGACTTTGTCGCTGGCCAAGACGCCGCCAGCTCCCACCGATGCACAAACGCAATCTCCTCGCGTGCCAAAGTCGGATTATTATGATACGGCCGGCTTGCATAAGTATTAGTATTCGTATAAGTATTAGTGGCTGCAAGTGGTGTGTGGGCGTGGCCGGGTCTCTTGTACATTGTGTAATTTAGTTGCGTGTGCAGGGTGCGTGGGAGGGCGGGCTTGAATGAATGTTAAGTGAAGGTTTCGCTATGATGACGTAAATAACGGATAAAAAGAGTGCAAGACCCGAACAAATGCGTGAGTGTTGGGGAACGTAGAAAACGCGATGTTTCGATTTGTAACGGCCCAAATGCAATTCTCTCTCTCTTCCACTCTCTTTGATTTATTGTTTGTACATCAAAGCGAGGCCTTCGTTTGGGTTGGCATCATACGCAATACGATATTTATATACCACAATACATAAGTACATACATATATGTATATATAGAAGATGTCCACCATTAATCGTAGTTTGCGTTGAGTTGAGGTTGAGTTAAAATACTTAAATAAACTATGAACCGTTTTCTGTTCGTTACAAAGTGGCAGCCTTGTTAAATTTCCAGCCTAGGTGGCTACTCCCCTACTCGCGCTTCTTCTTTTTGGGCACAGAATCGTCGGAATCCTCACTACTGGAATCGTTGGCACTGCTGCTGCTGTTGCTGTTGTTGCTGCTCTCCGGCTTGCGCTTCTGCGGCGTCTTCTTGGCCAGCTTCTCCACATACGCCTTCACCTTGTCCGGCTGTGGCGTGTACGCCCAGTGGATTAACTGCAAGTGGAGTTCTGTAGGTTCGCCCGACTCCGCGTCGAAGAGCTTGGCATCCTCGCTCTTGATCTGCTCCAGCAGCTTGGCTATCTGACGATTGCGCACAATGTCCCAGCTGGTGGTCTCATCGTCCTTCGGGTACATCGTGCGCAGGTGCTTGTAGTTGCCCTTGGCCTTGGAGCCGCCATAGGCGGCCAGGAATTCAACGGACAGATCGTCTTTGGGCTCTGGCAGCTTGGATGCGACAGTATAGGCCAAATAGGCGCGATTTTCCTTGATGCGGTTCTCGGCCTCAAACTTCTCCAGAAAATCCTCCAGCACTTGGACACCCTCCTTGATGGAATTGATCTTGTCCTCATTCTTGGTGCCGGACAGCACACGCTTCGAGCTGCCAATCAGTCCCTTGATGGCCAACCTCTGGTAATCCGGATCACGCTCCGCCAAAATGCTGCAATGACAAATCGAATCGAATGCATATAAAATATACTTATTCAAATATTGTAGATACAGCCAGAAGCAGTGGAATGTGCTCTTGGATATATGTATATACAAGTGACGATGGGTATACATATTTGTACGATATAATTACGAACCGCTTTGCTGGCAGAGAGCAGCAGAGAGAGAGAGAGAGAGAGAGGCATACAAAAAGAGCAGCGCTCGCTCTATCAATCTAATGAGACTTCCGAGTTCGAAACACTCTATAACTGTGACATGACATCATAAGATGCCGCAGCCGCTGCTGCTCGCCCTCTTGCCCGAAGGTCGATAATCGCTCGCCTCATTAGTATGTCCCCAAATGTCCCGCTTACCTCAGCGTTGCCTCCGCCGCCGCCTTGTCCTTGAAGCCCAGGCCGGGCACTGTCTCCACCTTGTCCTCGTTGTCAGTCTTGGCATTCTTGCTGGACGCACCGCCGCCATTATCCTCCAGCCATTTCTCAAACACTCCAATCGCCTCATTGATGTTCTTCAGCTTCTCCTCGGCCTTGGTCACTGCATTTTCATGGAAGGAGGAGCAATCAAGTGAGTTTGGATTGGGATTATCTCTTGGCTTGTACTACTCACAGGTCAGCACTCGCTTGGCGCGTCCAAGAAGACCGCGAACTGTCAGCTTTCGGTACTGCATGTCATGATCCTCCAGCAGCTTCAGCGTCTCCAAGGCCTTCTCCATATCCTTGAAACCAAACTTCGATTCACCCTCCGACATATCTGTTTCTTTAGTAAATAAATTAAATGTGTGTGTGTGTATGATGAATACCGTCCACGATGTGCGAGTGGCAGACTACGACTGATTTCGGAGGTCCAAGTTTTGGGCACAACAGCCCCTCAACGGCAACGGCGGTGGCGGCGAGCGGGTAATCATCCAATGAGGCCATCAGTAAGAGCGCGTGTGAGCGGCAGTGAGCGCCACTGAGCAGGCCAGAGCAGAGGCCAATTAGATAAGCGCCACGAAATAACTGGGTGACGCCGCCAAAGTCCGGGGGAACCGGTTTGTTGTCGTAGCTACGGAGCAAAACAGAACACACAAAAACTAAACAATGCTCTGACGTCATTCCCCCCTAGCTACTGATAACCGAATGGAAACCATATGGGAGTGGAGCACAGGGGCGGTTACACGACCCTCACAAAAACTGCAGCTGAAGAAAAGTTGTAGCAAATTAGAATCACATTTCAGTAACAGTCTAACAACAAGAAATGTTTCAGCAATGTTTCTAGTCATGCACACGACATGCATGTTGTTTTTCCTGCAATCATCTGTATTTTATGGGAAGAATCATTATTTTAATACATTTATGTAATAGAGGAAATTACAAATATATTCAGGAGAAACAATTGTGAAATGGAGTAAGAAGTAATACATAACACATCTTCAAATATATAGACACTATTGAATAAAAGAAAACGCTCAAGGAAAAAGTCCAATTTAGCATTTATAAACAATTTGTTGAAAGAATTAAGGGAAACAGAATTGCAGTCCAATTGAGTTGGACTGGGTATTTTGTGCCACCTTTAAATATGTACTCATAGTTCACAATTAATGATACGATTGTCCTGAAACGACTGCTTATGCTTAATAGATACGAAAACATGCTGGGGGCTACTTTAATTGTTGAACTCGAAACGCTTTGGACTTATGAGGCTAGTTGCTTAGCGGCTAGTTACAGCTGCGGCGTATCTGCAGCACATCGTCTAGCATAAAGTTGCGTAGGTGGCACAGGGCCTGCACAACGCTATCCTGATCACGGACATTGGGTCCCAGCCAGTGTTCGGGCAGTGGCGCGTTTGGCGCAACTTGGGCGGGAGTCACGTGGGTAAGGGCTCGACGCCAGTTGTTGTTGCAGGCGGCCACATTGAGATGACTGCCGGTCTGGAGGCTCTCGATGTACTTGATGTAGGCCTCCGAGTGGATGACGCGAGTGGTGCGCGGTGGAACGGTGACAAACATCGGCTCTGGCGGTGGGCCGAGGACAATCGTTTGCTGCTGCTGCAGCATCTGCTGAGTGTGTGGCGGCTGCTGTTGCAGCTGCACTGCCTCTATGGTGTTGGGGGCACGTGGTGAATGGGCATTGATGGGCGGAATTGGCACAGTGACAGCCATCGGCGGCATGTGCTTCTGCCGGCGCGGCACAAAGTTCTTGCTGCGCTCGGCAATGCCCAAGACCTTGCCGCACTTACTCAAATGCACCTCGCGCACGTGCTTGATGAGCCGCAGCACGTTGGGAAATCCCTGGGTGGACTTCTTGATGCGCGAACAGTTGCGCCAGAGGCAGACGTATTCAATTTCAACGCCCGCCTGCGGATGCCGCTGTATGTGTCCGGTGGCATCGGAAAGGCAGTGCTCGGTGCAGTCGGGCATTTCCTCAAACTGGAAATCGCACTTGTCCCACTGACACTCGTAGGTGAGTGGCGGCCCTGGAGTCTCCGGTGTGGCACTGACCTGGGACGAAGGACTGGCACTGTTCTGGGCATCATCTATCTCACGGCGCAACGCTGCCGTCTCCTCGTTCTGTTTGCTGGCTCGATCCTCCCAACTTTGCTTGACGCTGGACGGTAGATTCTTCCATTCGTTGCCCACCATACGGGATATGTCCCCAAAGGAAGCCTCTGGATTGCTCTGACAAATGCCTGAAAATCAAGTATGATTAGGATTTTATGGAAATCTTATGGATGGGGCGAGAGCACTTACCTTTTCGCACCTCACTGGAGTAGAGAATGTAGCCGGTGAGGCACTTCTTGGCTGATTTGGCAGCCTTCACTTTGGAGGTCAGCGGTGTGGAGTTCACAGACGGCGCTGGCGAGGACATGGTAGCAATTTCGGAACTCAGTGACGGTGTATCCCCATCCATCGAGTCCTCCAGCATACTCAGCTCGTTGATCTCGCTCTTCACATCTTTGGCCGGCTTGATGGGGGTCTTGAAGTAGAAGATCTCATCCTCGGTGACGGCCGAGCTGTGCTGGAACTTGCGCATGTTGCCGACCACCAATTTGCGCACAGCTTTCTTCACCTCATCATAGACTGACTCGCAAATATAGACATCGCTTTCGGCTATCTCTGTGGGTCGGGAGTTGATGAACTCGGCGTACTCCAGCACGGCGCAGCGACCGACAACACCCACCACGGGACTGACCTCTTCGACGGTGCTCAGGAGCAGCTCCTGACGGAAGAACTGCTTGCCCAGGGCGGGCGTTGTTTCGCTGGGCGGCAGCAGCCAGGGACCCTTGAAGTAGGACTTTCCGTTCTGCTCCCAGATCTGATGGACCTGCGCAACGGACTGCTTGCCCGTTTGGGTGGCCACGTAGACAAAGTCGCCCGTCTTGATGGCCCCGCTGCAGGCAGTGTTGTACTGCTGGTAGTAGACGCTGTTGTTCTCGGCATTCGGTGGCGGATCGCAGGATACATTGGGCTTCTCCTTCTCCACCATTGCCTCCTGCATTTTGAGCTCCTCGAGCTCACCCTTGTGCTTCTCAATGCGCTCCTTGAACACGGACATCACGCGCTTCAGCTCCAGCGGCTGTTCGCGCGGCACAAACCGCACGGAGCTACCCTCGCGTATCTGGGGCCAGTTCTTGAGCTTCTTGAAGCAGCGTCCCTGCAGATTGTAGCGCGACTCGCACACAAACACATCCTTCTCGAGCAGCCGATCGGGACGCATCTTGATGTAGTCCTTGATGTGCATCACATAGCACATGCCCAGCACCTTGTCCATGGAAATGGTCTGCGAGATGCTGCTCTTGAACACCTCCTTCTCGAGGAACTTTCGCGTCGTCACGTGATACGTCTCGTGGGGCCGCACAAAGATCGAGCCCTGCATCAGCTTCTCGTTGTTGGGCGATGTCCACAGCCGCTCGATGCAGGCTATCGATGGAATCTTGTTCTCCGGCATCTGCACGTACACATAGTCGCCGGGGGAGTAGACCTGCTGATTGATTGTCATGCTCTCGCCCTTGCTGGCGGCATTGAACTCATCCTTGTCCTGCTCTTGCTCCTGCTCCTCCTGCAGCAGCTTCTGCCGTCGCATCACCTCCACATCGGCCAACAGGCGCTCCAGCGTAAAGCTGAGAGCGGGCGAGCTCAGGGTGTCCTTGCACAGCTCATCCCGCTTGCGTATGAAGTAGGTCTGCAGCTCAATGGAGTCCTGAAATATATCCGAGTCCGTGCGAGACAGCTTGCGGGCACGCTCCATGCAGGAGAAGATGTCCTCCTGGTAGATGTCCAGCCGCTTGTAGGCGCCCTTGTCCAGTCTGCGCTTAACCAAGTCCAGCGAAATGCCGCGCACCTTGGCCCCCTCGCCCAACTCATCGTACTCGGCCAGCTCGGCCAGGGAGTCGGAGTAGCAGCGTCCCTCCTCATCCTGGTGATTGTACAGCGTCGTGAAGAGCGTGAGGAACAGTTCCTGTACGGCCAGCGGCACATCCGGCTGTGAATCCCGCTCTATGCGCAGCTGCTGCTTCAACTGCAGCGTCAGCTGCTGGAGCACCAAGGCATCCTTATAGATCTGCGAGTCGGGCTCGTTGTACTTGCAGGCGTTCTCCAGCATTAGTAGGAAATCGGCGGACAGATCGTCCAGGCTCTCGTAGGCGGACTGCTTCAGCTTCTGGGCAATGCGGTCCATGTCCATCGGCTCCTTGATGATGTCATAGTAGTCCGGATACTCGCTCTTCGACGGCAGCTTGGTGAAGATCAGCGACAGCTGACGCTTGCCCTTGGGCTCCTGATACTCGCGCAGCGTCTCATAGAATTGCCAGAGCCGATCGGTGACTAGTGCAGTCTTTGGCTTGCGCCCCACCTTGGAGTACTTTTGCACAGGTTTCTTCACCTCCACAAGGCCCGGGAACTCCTTCAGCTTCTCGTTGAGGGCTTTCTCCAGTATGTTGGCATCTTCGTAGATGGTGGAGCCATCCTCATTGTACTGCCGACAGTTGGAGAACATCAAGCGGTAGTCGGAGACAACATCCTCCACAGTTGCATAGCGATCGCTGCGTATATTGTGGTCGATGGTGCTCATATCGATGGGATTCTGGATGATGTCGTAGTAGTCCGGATAGTCTTTACGGAGCGGCTTCTCCATGAACAGCTCGATGGGGCGACGATTGCCCACCAAGTACTCAACGAGGCATTTCTGGATGGCCAGAATCTTCTTCTTGATGGCCCCATTGATGGCAATGCGATTCGTTTTGGGGGAATTCGAGTTGTTTGGCGTGTGCGATGTGTTTGAATTCGAATTGGAGTTGATGCGCGGCCTGCCCGGCTTCCGTTTTTCCGGCTGTGTGTTGGTCGATGAAAAGATTTCAGCATCTAGCAAATCGTCACCCTCTTCGTCTTCCAGTTCGTCTCCAGTCTCCTCGAGGGACTCCTCCACGAGTTTGGCATTCATAATTTTCAGCATCTTGAGAGCATCTTTGTGGGTTCGATGGGTAACCGGAAACGCCTTCTTGGCATTGTCCAGCATGAGATATAGATCGGAGGTGAGATCACTTATATTCGCATAGTCGCCCTTCTTCAGCTTCGTGTGGATCTGGCTCATGGAAATGGGCCGCTTGATCATCTCAAAGTAATCCGGATGAAAGCGACGCACTGGCAGCTTCCACAGGGAATTGCCCAGCGGTGGACCCGTGGTGCCAGGATGCTCGGAAGTCCCAGGCGCATTGTAGAGATAATCAAACAGCGCCCACATGGGTCCCTCGCCCTTTTTACTCGTCTCCTCGTCATCGGAGCTCTCCACTTCTTCCTTCAATGCTGCGAATGAAAGGAAATTCAAACTTGTATCTTGCTGAAGGATTCGTTCTCTTACCGGCTATCACCGCACTGGACAAATTCTTGAGTCGCTTGGCCAGCTTGCCCTTGCCCGTCTCCAGCTCGATACGCCTTTGCGTAAAGATGCGCTTCAGGGCCTTGGCATCCTTGTAGATCTGCGAGCCCGGCTCATTGAAGAGGCACGCGTTCTTTGTCATCTGCAGAAGATCTCGTTCCATTTCCACCAGCGAGGAGTAGGCATTCATTTGTATTTTGGTCGCAATCAGACGCAGGTCAATCGGGTGCTCAATCACATCGTAATAGTCCGGATAGATCTTCTTGGAGGGCAGCAGCTGGAACATGCGGTACATGGCCCTGTCGCCCATCGGGTCGGTGGCCATCATTACGGAGGCAAAGAGCTCCTCATACTGATTGAATTCATCATCCATATCCCCGCCCGGCTCCGTGCTGTTCGTCATTCGGCGAATGTTGCGCGAAATGCGCTTGGCGCGCGGTTCTTCCTCGGCCATGCCATTGGCCTCCATAATGCGCTGCCTTTGCGACTGAATGTGCTGCCACAAGGCGTGGGCATCACGGTACTCGATGGTCTCCGGCTTGTAGAAGGCCTTCGCGTTGCCAATAAGCAGCTCCAGGTCAGCCATCAGATCTTCCAGATCGTCGTAAGAGTCTGTCTTGAGCTTCTGCTGTATCTTCAGCAAATCGATGGGATTCACCACCACGTCATAGTACGAGGGCTCTTGGCGACGCTTGGGCGCCCGTATGAACGTATCGCACAGCATTGAGCCATCCTCCTTCTTGATGTTCCGTATGGAGTCGTACAACTGCTGGCAGAGCTCGGTCGGATCCAGGCGGCGCTTTTTTCGCGCCGATTGTGTCGCTGTCTGCTGCACCGGCGACTGCTCTGGCGTCGAGTCGTCCAGCATCAGCGGATCCTCGTCCTGGCGACTCGATATGGAGCTGGCGCGACGCTTGCGACTCAGCATCTTCTAATTATATGTGCCTTTGCCCCAGAAAATAATTAATTTTAATAAAACCGACAACGCGACGCCACCAGATAAAAAAATGCAGCACAGTGTGACCGTGTTTTGTAATATACCGTGTGACAATCATAAATATACCGAAATATACTACATATTTTTCTAGCGATGTGCTAAAAATTAAGGGTGCATGTGCTGGTATCGATGTATCGATTGCTTGTGATGAACCTGTTGAATATTGCTCATTGTGGTAAATAAAAGATTTTGAAATTTTAAAAATCCTATCTAATTACAAATTTATATATTTATTCAACCACTTGATATTCATTATACACATCAAATCACAGCCAAATTATTATTATTTTTAGGATCGGGTATCGTTCAGGCCATTAGAATGAGCGAGGTCAAGCTGCAAGAAAAGAAAATATAAAATCATAGCCAGTCACTATTTGTACAAAGAAGGAGGTGAAAAAGCAGCAGAGCGAAACAAGTGAATTTTGTTAAAATGTTTAATTTATTATAGTTGTATCACATAATTTTTAGATGCTTGTGTGTGTGATTGAGTATGCGATAAAATGATTTGTTTTGTGTGTAAGGAACATTCTTGAAACTTAAATAAATAGCAGACAAATTATTAAACATTTATAGATTTAATATATGCCAAGAAAACCTATATTTCTTAGCAAAACTCAGAGTCAAAATTGACAAATCTTGCAAAACCCATCCGAATGCCAAAGTACTCTCTCCCAAGGGAGGAACAAACCTATCACACCAGACTCCGGCCGATCGACAGCTTGCAAATCGCTGACTAGGAAGCTAGTCCCGACCAAGTACTCCAAGCTTTTATTTCGATCAAGAGCAAGGTGGTGTTCCTCTAGCTAAAGAGAATCTCTCTGACAGCAAGACAAAGAAAACATTCCGTGAAGCCAAAACTCAGACCTCACATTTGATAGACGTCGGAACAACCATGTCCAAGCAATCCATTCATCAGATGGTATTGGATGGTGATGGAGCCAGACAGGAACTGAGTCACGATTCGGAATGGCTACAGGGGACTCTAGAGCTTAACAGGCCACGAAGAAAAAGAATTTGCCTGTGATGACCTCCCGATCCTGACGCTCAGCTCCAGTTGCAATCCTGATCAGATGGCAAGATTTAAGGACAGACAACCATCCAAGGATATCAGACCACTGTATGTGAGAGAGCTTGGTTAACTAAAATCAGGGATAGTGGACCTGAAGCATTATCCCGCATGGAGGACAAGACGTCACGCCACGTCATATAGAAATTACTGCTCTTTTCGACCACAAAATTATAAAAATGGTAAATAAATACAAAATATATGAGCGAAATAAAATACACATAAAAGTAACCTTAAAAGAAAGCGGACAATTGGGCAAGTCTTAGATCATAAATCGAATCGTTTTTGCTGCACTTCTCTTGCGATAGTTCAAATCTCAACTTATTTACATGTTCTGTGAGATTTCTGTGTCCATCCAGGGGGCCCGGGCCACCCTCCATAAGTGTGAAGTACAACAATGAAACGGTTCAACATTTGGTTATAGATGGTACGAATATCAGTTCTGTTTAAACTAAACGTGTATATAGAACATATGTATAAGGTATGTATTATATATGTATATGTCTTGCGGTCAGTTTACCCATATATCTCAACCTTTTATCTCTCAACAGTTCATTTCGTTTGTGTGGCGACTAGCGGTGGTATTGCGACTGCTTCTAAAACTTAAATTATGATACTTAGCATAGAATCTAGTTAAACTCGTAAGCGGCGACTCGACAAAGCATCTCTGCAGCTGCACGAGAGACACATTGTGGCGTCGCTTACGCAGATATCAGTTGATGAAGCTCATGTAGTTGGTAAAGAGCACATAGTTTTCCACTAACCGGGCACGCAGCTCACGTCGCACGGTGGCCGAAAACTTGTTGGCCAAACACAACGCTGTGGTTGTGCCAAACACCAGATTGTAAAGTAAAACAATTTGGAAATTTCCCAGCCACTCGATGGCACCAAAGTCTCCCAGCAGATCGAAGTTCGTAATGCCTGAAAGTGTTACAAATGTTATTTGCAATCGTTAAAGTGTTTCCGCATTTAAGCGTGTACCTATAATCCTGCTGAGCAGCGGCAGGGCCGAGGACAGAACCAGCATGAAGCCACAGTTGAGCATTAGCTGGGGCAGTGAGGTCTGGTGCCGCTTGGGTCGCACATTCCGCATGAAGGGCATGCTGTAGAAGCCCACCACAGAGGTGGCGCCCAGATAAAAGATGAGGCAGACCTCCAGTCCGGCGCCAAAGGGTCCCAGCTTTGATAACGATGAAATGCCCAGCGTGAATTGCTGCAAAATAAATTGAAAACACAATTTAATTAGCAACAAAATTAGGTAAAAGTCTGAACTGGCGACCTACCCTTGTGCTCAGCGGGAGAGCTTTGATTCCTATGAGCAGCTCGAGCGTATTTTGCACCACCAACAGAATTGTCATGCCCGTGCAGAAGAGCAGCAGCAGCATGGCCAGCGGATAGACAAATGTACGCTGGAAGGTGCTCGACTTGCGCTGCTTGTCCAGCTCCTTGCGCTCACAGTCCAATTCTCTCAGTCTTTCGTTGAGCTGCTGCTGCTCCTCGCTCACATCGTGGCCCATCGCCTTGCGCTGATAGAGATGCACATACGACTGTTGCAGTAGAGACGGTGGCAGGTATCCACGACTGCGTCCATTGCGATGGCCATTGGTGGCATCCGAAATGCTCACGTTATGCAGCTCAATGTGGGCCAATTTTCGCTTGACGCTCGCCTCCTCCATGTAGAAGGCGCTGAACTCCTCGTTCACATCCCGCCGCAGCATTGGACGCACCAGCACCTGGTTGACAACACCGAACAGACGCACAAAGCCGTAGGGAGTGCAAACTGAGGGAAGAAAAAACAAACAAACTATCAATTTCATGTAAACAAAGTGCGCGTTGGTTTCTATGACATCCAAACAACAGTTTAAACAGAAATTGGTAAGGAACAGCAGCATATTATATTACAGATCAGAGCTCAATATGACAAGCAAGGGACTTGATGACTTTGCCGAGTTCGAGGCCACTCTGCAGAAGATCGACGATATATTAAACGAGAGTGATGAGAAGCAACAAGCAGCCGCCACAGCAGCCGAGGCCAAGACGGACTTTGACAAATTGGATCCCGACAATGTGCGCCTAAAGGTGCGAGAGAATCGCACTGTGATCAACCGCAAGAGCATGGAGGAGGACAAGCAGAAGGAGGCGGGCATGGCGCAGGCCATGAACCAGCAGAGTTTCATGCAGCAGGTGGAGAAAGATGCCAATGAGCGGGCCGAGGCACGGGCCAAGCGCGAATACGAGGCGGAGGTGCAAAAAAGGTAAGCAGCTCAAATCTATAGAGCAGATTTCATTCCTCTTCCCTGGCAGTCATGGCAACGAAGCTTTTCGCAATGGAAAATATGAAAAGGCAATTCTCCATTACGGCAAGGCCCTGGCTCAGATCAAGGACAGTGCCATAACATACAACAATCGCGCCTTGTGTTACATCAAGTGGGTATATAGAAGAGCCTAACCCTCTGGCCATCCCTAAGCTCTCACTCTTGTGATCTTTCAGACTTTGCAACTACAAGCGCGCCCTGCAGGACTGCCAGCATGTGGTGGACAAGCTGCAGGAGACCAATCTGCGAGCCTGGCTGTACAAGGCCACGGCGTACAAGCGTCTCGGACAGACCACGGACTTTGTGGAGAGCGTGGCCAAGGCACGCGAGCACAATCCCAAGCAGTTGGCCTACATCGAAAAGTACATCAAGCAGATGGAGGCAGAAACAGAAGCGGAGACATAGAACCCATACACATTATTTATTAAAGCTATTAATTTACACTGTATTCTATACTCACTCAGCATTAGCATTACGCCCAGAAACGAGACACAAGAATAAAGGAACGGCAGGTGAACACTGCCCAGATCTGTGAAGCGTAAAGAGCGGAAATTACGACAATTGTTTATAGATTAAAGAGGGTGCAGTGTGCACTGTAACCGCTCCCCCATTCGTTGGATGGTTGATTGATGGATGGGTGCAGTACTCACTTAAAAACCAAAAGAATTGCAATTTTTGTATCCCAAAAACTGCGCTGAGAACAGCAGTTATTACGAGGACAATGACAGCCATCAGCATGAATACCGTAAAGGTCTCATAGACACGCGGCAGAATGCCCTTCTTGTGGCCCACAAAACCCGTGGATTCGGTGAACAAATACACGAATGGCAGAAAGATGAACAGTGACAGATTGGAGAATAGAAACACATGATTCCAGAGACCTGTAGGGAGAAGTATCAGGTATAAGATTAATCAACATGAGGGCTTTAGGGTTTGACTTTACTTGCCTTGTATGAGGGAACTGTTGAGCCATTTCACATAGTAACTATTCGGATACAAGAGCAGCACCTCATTGCTGGCTATGGATACCGGCAGCAGCATGGCAGCCCCTTCGGCAACTGCCAGTGTGAATGTGCAGAGCCAAAAGCTGTAGAGATTGGTGGACGGGTTAAAAGAAAAACGTTTTCATTAATGGCACTGGCATTGGCATGTTTGAATGCAGCAACTCTCGCGAGTGACTTGGCAATTAGCAAAGGTAAACGACAGGTTATTGACTCTCTCTCTCTCCCTGGCGGATTGGATCGTATGTGAAATGGTATGGGATGCCTTACCTTATGCGATAGACCAGCACTTCGTCCTCGTCATTCGAATAGAGATCGTCACGATCGCGTCGCCGAAAACGTGAGACAACAACATAGGAGCTAAAGTACAGCAAAATAATCAGCAGCAAGAAAATCTGAAAGAAAGAATATAGAAAATATATCATTCCTGTAGCTGCCATACATTGAACTACAATTCTTGATCTGTTTATCTGCGATTTCATAAGACTGTTTTCCCCACCCACGCATTTCTTTTGTTTTGTTTTAAATGCAAATATTTTGTCGTTATTTGGGGTTTCGGTCTACCAACTGCCAAAACATTTGCTCGAATTTAAAGTATATTTATTTATACTCAAGTAAATGTATGTTTGCAAACCCCCAAACACATGCATGTACGATACGATTAGGAACTAGATCTCTTTCAAATTCGACGTGAATCAGGAAGGTACTAGGTGTCAAAGTCTGTTTCTTTGTTCCTGCACGGTTTCAGGGCCATATCTATAGAAGTATCTACGAGTACTTGTGTCGAACTGCTCTTATTTATGGCATTGAAGATTGTATTTAACTTGGACAAAAGATTCTTGGTAAATGATTTTGTTTCTTGCATCAAAGAAATGTTCTTTTCAATTGACTTGACAAGTAGTTTTATATTTAGAAGGTGTTTTTAGAGCGAAAGCTGGAAGAATGAAGAACAAATGAATATATCTAACATAAAAGCAACATAGAAAAACCCTAACTGAGTTAAGCACGCGCATTGTATCAAAGTTTTCTTTTATACTATTCTCGGGCATTCTCTTTTGCTGTTTACGCTTGTGCGTCTCGAGCCGTGCATCAATGTGCACGGCACATTTATGTACCTACAATGTGTGCAAAGAGAGTGTAGACGGCCTACAGATTTTACTCTAAATGTTTTCCATTCAGGCATAAACTATCTTGGAATCAGTCGCATTTCACATTAATGGATAAAATGAATATTTGTCCATTGAATCTACTATCGGGTTAAAACCACTTTCCATAACCACTTGTGTCAGCACCTTGGTTACAACACCGTCTATCAACATAAGCAAATAAATACGAGTAATTGATGATTAATTATGACCACCAATGCTTCCGACGACACCAGGAATAGAAGCGTGCAAAGGTCACAAACGGGGCTTATCAGTGGCCGACGAAAATTGACGATAAGACCCAGCAGAACCAATTGAATGTCATCCACTTCAAACATTTGGCGATTATTCCCGCACAAGACTTATGTTCAAAATGAATTAATGTCTGGAACCACAAAAAATAAAAGATCGACTGGGAAATATTTATGTCCACAAAATAGATGCCAACACGTCATATTTCTATATTTTTTTGTGGTAAACCAAACAAAAACAATACAAAAATAGATACGTCAACAGATAGATACACAGAGGCGCTCATACATACACATACTATAACCCATTAACAAAAGAGACTTTTCATGTTCTACCCAAAGGCAGAGAAAAAAAACAGAGAGTGAGGGAACAAAAAATAACAATTAATTTTCTGCTTTTGTTTGTTATTCAAGATAGTTGCAGTTGTATCTGTGAGCTACTCTTCAGTGTGGTATTCGTGCAAATTCCAATTAACTTTTGTCTGGCCCCACCGAAAAGCATCGGATAGATCGGTCTGATCAGAGACAATTAAATCAAATTATCTTCAATTATTTGTGCCATTCGGCAGTCACAGAACTTCATATCTACATATGTATGCTGTGTGCCCCGAATTTATTACTGTTCAAGATGTTTTCTCTACAAAACTATGACCAAATTTTAAAAAAATGTATAAAGAAACGCAAAACATTTGCTATCAACAATTGTGCGTCGTCTGTTTATAGAACATTCAATCGTCTAGACTCGAGACTGTAGAGTCAAGCGTGTAGAAAGACCATAAAACATACAAGTTTCATAACTATAATATGGGGAGAACCCAAATGACAGAGCATAATCCAGGGACCATTGAATTGTAATCTCTGACAATAATCTTTTGACTCTGAAACGCACTATACATGCTGCTGGGCAGTGACGTGCCTCTCTCTGTTGAACTTGGAACACGTAGACGACGTCCACTGCGAGATAGTATGCGCGGCTTCTACTTCTATAAACATTCTCCGTACACATTCCAGAATGAAAATGAGGCAATGAAAATGCAACGAGAGCTTCAAGTACGAGTAAGCGTATAAGTAGCTGCAAATTAAATGATGGCACGCTCCAAGAGATTTGTGCCCGCAAAACAAATTTAGTTTCTAACCGAAAATATCTAAAAAAAATATCCCCCTAAATCGTATCGTAGGCGACAAGGAGAGTCAATGACTTGACATGAACTCGAGACATCGAAATCGGCAGGAAAACAACGCCCATTAAATGTCGACGTCGACTTTGGCCATAAATAGGAACAACGCCCAAACTGCAAGGCAAGAAGCAGGCAGCAGGAGACACAGGGAGAGAGAGAGGAAGAGCAGCGGCATTTGTACTACGAGTATATACTATAATATCTTGTCTGACTGGTTGCTGCTTGGTTTGAAGACAACTTTGCCGGTGAATGGGCTGGCGAAATGTATTTACTGAGTGCTCTATACCCAAGAGTTGTAGCATCCGAGGGCATATTGCATCCCTGCAGATGGGAAAAGGTTGAAAACTCTTGGACCTTGAGGACTGCAGCAGTGGTTGTTGGGCAGACTTCTCGTCCAAGGGAAACTTATGACTGAAGCCTTAATTATTATTATTCTACTTGCAAGCTAGTTCAATCTCTAATTAATGGGTATCTAATGGCACAAACTATGGGAATTTCCTCACATAATTTAATTGAACAAGGTGAAAGATGTTTTTAGATACGAAACAGTCTGTGCAGGTGAAAACTGAAAGCAAAATGAAATTTATGAAATTTTATTCGTAAACCACTCTGAACTATACATATCAAACGTCTTATCGCTGTGCCGAGGCACAGAGCAGTTGTAAGAGAATGACTAAGACCTGCATTATAATGTGGTAACACAACCCACCAGTGAGGCACCACATTCATGCGTCCCATGCTGTGGGCTGGAAAGCCGGCTTCCAACGCTCGCCAGAACTTCCCACTTAACCCAACATTGGTACTTCTGTTTCGGTTTTTGGGTGTACTTCTGCATTATTCATGAGCGCTTTGCTATGTCTCCTACAGTCCATGGCATTCGGTTTGGGCTTCGAGTAAAGCTCACGTACTTCTGATCTGACCCACATTCTGCCTGGGGGGGGGGGGGGGGGGGGGGGGGGGGGGATTATTCAATTTTCGGCAAATGAGAAATGTGCTTCAATAAAAAAATGGTTTCCATTTCCTGGGAGTAAATCCATCTGCAGTGATTATATTTAAACCTATGGCTATTTTTAAATGCATTCATACAAAAATACCAAAATACCATGGGTGTGTATGTCTGTGTGTTTTTATGAGTAATTTGAACAATTTCAAATGTGTTTAACGCCTTGACTGCCATTGTTTAAACAAACGCCAGCAGCTGCCGCTGGTCACGACAGACGCCTACCTTCCCAGTCTCGAAGGGAAGGAAGGAGGGAGGGCGAATATATCGGGCAGCCTTTGCCATGCACTTGAAAATCGCTCGGGTCTGCAAGTTGTCTACACAAGTGTTTTTCGAAATTGTTGTCTAAATTGTTTCAAACAAAAAATTTATGCTTTTCGCAATCTTATAAACATTGCTTACACACAAACATATCTTTATACATACATATGTACATTTACATACATGCATTTTGTTTCAGTTTTGGGTATTACAGGACCAAATGTCTATAAATAGACATCTGGCTAGTGGGGAACACTTTCACTTGTTGCTTTTGTGTTCTTTCTTCTTGATATTTTTTGTTGTTTGCTTTTGCTTTCTGTGTTGTTTTTACCGTTTCATCAATTTGCATGCTCTGCTTCACCTTCTTTTACTTCAGTCTTCTTCTTGCTGAACTTTTGTGCTTGCGGGTGCAGGTGTATGTCGGAGGGTATATGCCTTTAGGGGCACTCTTTGGCCGAACCTGCTTTCTCAATGACACATTCTTGTCCATTGTTACTAATGCTCCATTAAAAAGTGCATATGCTACAGTTTAATCTCCCATTAAGATCTGAATCTATCATAATACGATTGCTACCTAAATTTTCGTTTACTAAGTATCAACTCTTCGAACCCCTTGATTATTTATAAACAACAGGTGTGTTTTTGATTGTGTGCGTCTGTGTGCGATTTCGCGATAATTTTTTGCAGCCCAAATAGAAAGTGCAAAGAAGTGGCTGCTGGCCACTATCGCCTCTCCACTTCCTCCCCGATAATCGCTTTGACGACAGACCATATATACAAGTCGAACGCAGGCTCAGAAAGTGCTGATAACAACCATAAACAAATAAATTACCCATGATTTTTTTATCAAATTTTATAATGTATGTAACTCGATTCCCACACACACAGACACAGATTCGAGCGCCCCCTGCGACGACCAGTACAGTTGCAATGAAAAGTCAGGCTGCAACGGCAGCTGCCACTGATGCGTTCTGATTATGTTTTGCTGGAAACCCTTTTTGGGGTGGTATTCACTTACAATGTGCTCGCGGACTGTATTGTGAAACAATTGCAGTTTCAGATCGGTGACTTCCTCCTCCTCCTCGTCCATGTTCAGGAGGAACGAGGATAGCTTATCGCTTGTTGCCTGTAACTGGGCCAGTTTTGTTTATTTTATTTAAAATCACTTCACAAAACACAGTACAACTTGGACACACACCAAGTTTGGACAGACGGAGAATCTCTTGTAGAGATGAAATTCCTATGGGTAGCTAATTTCACTTTTTCCCCGTGACGACACACACGCATTAAACCACGCACAACGAACACGATTACAACAGAGGGGTAAAGGGGCACGCGCTGTTCTAGCCGTAGTTGTGTGACTTAAATTTTGACTATTTCACTTAACGGGACAGCACTGGCTGACCTTAGGTAGTTACAATTAATTTAAATAGATTTTTGCAGCCGTATTTCGTTCCGCTCTGAGTTTGCTGGGTGCCGACAAAATTTATTTTAATTTGGCCCCGAATAACGACCGAACCGCCGCAATAAAATTTATCAACAAACAAAGTGACCGTACGAGGCAGAGGGGAAAATACCACGGAAGTAATCGTAATACTGAATTAATACCAGAATTAATGCCGATAGTTCTTGTATATGTTACAAATAAAAATTATTAAAAATGTCAAATTTGCGCCGCCAAGTAAATTAAACGTAAAATCGCATTTAAAACAATCCTAATTCTTTAATTCTAGGCTCTCAGCGCCTTCAAGGAGCTCCATCGCACGCGCCAGTACGTGTTTGATGGCGACGTTCGGGCACTGGAAGAGGCGCGTAAGAAAATCAACGACGAATTTCGGCAAAACCGAGCTGTGACCGACCAGGATGTGATTCAGAGCGTATGCAAGGGGTTTTCTTCCTTAAATTTGTGTCCTTTCTGATCCCACATTTTTACAGAAGATCAAACTGGCGGAGGAATGTGCCCACGAGCTGCGGACGAATGTGATTCAGGCCCAGAAACGAGATGACGGCGTATATGGTGGGTTGCACATTACATAAACATTACCATGCCACTGTGTATATCAAATTTAAATGTTTTCAGAGCTCCGCATAACGCCAGAGACGACGCGAATGGACAATATAGTCTTCAATCCGGATGCCGTCATCGAGTCGCCGCGCAAACGTCGCGGTGCGAAGGCCACAGAAGGCTGCTGTGGCGGCGCGGCGATGGCGGCGCTCGACGCGGAGGTGGCCGCTCGGAAGAAATAGAAAACAAGAAACGTTTAGGATGTAGTTAAAATCCAGTCAAGTAAATCGCTTTATTTTATTTGCCATGGTGTCTCTTTTTAGATTTGTGTTTGCTTTTTGATTCGGCTTTCTTTTGCTTCGTCTTCTTGCTTTGCTTGCGCTTGCTGCGCTCGTCCGAGGAGGAGGATGAACTAGAGCTCTCCTCAGAGCTATCCGAGGACTCGTCATCCGAATCGCTTTCACTGTCCGACGAATCTTCGCTAGCGTCTGAGCTGCTGCTGGAGACATGCTTCGACTTCTTCTTTGCCACTTTCTGGCTCTTGTGTTTCTTTTCCACGGATGCTGCGGGCTTACGTTTCCTATCGGGAGTCTCCTTGCGCTCTATTCGCTTTGAATTTCTATCCTGATTACGTGCATCGCGGTCTCTGGATTCGGGATGTCTTTGCTGGGGCCTGAAAAAGGAATTCTTATTAATATACTGACACAGTTTTTAGGCAATTTCAGGCGGCAAACCTTCTGTCTTGCCCATTATCTCTGCTTCTGATGGGTTCTCTGCTTTGACAATAATGTCTCTCTGCTTGTGGGGATCTCCCTCGCCTGTAATTGTTGCGATCTCGGGATCTGGATCTTCTTGTATCCATACGTTGATCCCGTCGATCTTTACGATCTCTGGAGGGTGAGCGGTGGCGATCATTGAAACGTTTTCGATCGTTTCCTTCTCTGATCGGCCTCTCATTTGGGTTCCTTCGCTCGTTTCGATCGCTGGATCGTGAACGCCTTCGATCGTTTTGTTCCTGGTGGCGTTGCTCTCTTGCCTTCCGCCGCTCTGCGGAGCTCAATAGACTTCTCGGATCGTCTGGCCTCTTGCGATCCCTATGTTCATCGGGTCTGTCTCTGCCTCTGTCTCTGCCCCTGCCGTTGTTCTGTGGCCTTCGATCATTGTTATCCCGCAGATTGTCAAAGTCCAGCTTGCCGTCAGCGCCCTCCACGCCACGTCCTTTGCCACGCCACGTAACCTTCGACACGGACTGGGAGAAGTCCACGTGTATGCGCCGGTCGTCGATCAGCACATTGTCCATTTTGAAGTAAGCTGCCTCGCATGATTTCTGCTCCTCAAACTCCACAAATGCATACTGCAGGGAGTCGCCTGTCTTGCGGTCCCGTATCACCTCGCAGCCCTTCACCACACCAAAGCGACTGAAGATGATCTCCAGGTCGTCGTCCGTCGTGACCGGATTGAGTTTGCACACGAAGAGTACGTTTTCAGGGGGTGCCATTTCGGCATCCGGCAAATCCCCCACGATCTCGAGTATTGTGGCACGGGCCTTGGCCTCGCGATCGGCCAGCATCTCCTGCATTTCCTCCATTGTCATGCCGTCGGTGTCGTCGATGTCCTCGTCAGCGGCGATGCGTCCGTTCTTCAACCGTTCGGCACTGGGCGAGGGCGAGCGACTGGGAGCCTGCAAGCCACGCGGATTGGGATACGGGTCCTCCAGCACCACCGTGTGGGTTATGCGTATGTCCTGGTAGGGACGGAACTTTTCATCCACAATGGCATCGTTTAGCTGGCGCAGCACCTCGTGTCCCTCTACCACCTCGCCAATGACGCAGTGGGTGCCATCCAGCGAGGTTAGGTCCTCTGCCAGGGTGAAGAAGAACTGGGAGCCCACAAGGTTCTTTCCCGCGCTCACAAGCGACAGCATTCCCGCATTCAAGTGGTGAATCTTGGGCAGATATTCGGCTTCAAAGAAGCGCTTCTGCGGGCCTTCCACAACGCCCCAAATGGAGGAGCCACCATCTCCAGCGCCGCTTGGATCGCCGGTCTGGGCAATGAAATTCTGCTGCACGGTGTGGAAGAGATTGTAGTTGTAGTACTTAAGCCGGCAGAGCTTCAGGAAGTTCAGGCATGCGATGGGCCGTTCGGTTGTGAATAGATCGACCGTCAGATCGCCCAGCGTGGTCTCAATCACCACGGACATGATGCAATTTCTTAATTATCAGCAAAAACACCCATGGAAAACAGAAAATTCTTCACAAAAACACCCTAAAGATGGTCTAGAGGTGGAACATACATATATCGGTTGGCTGCTATCGACATGTTAATATGGTAGCACGAATTATACTGCAACTATTTTATTGTTTCTAAAATGTACGCCAGACATCCAGAAATGGATGGTGGATGGTCGCCAGTGTGAAAAGGCTGTTAGCCTAGCACTCAGATCCGAAATAATGTTTGCTAGCAAATTGTGCAATATATTTTTCTGGCGGCAGTTTGTGACCAGAGGCGTAAAGTGCATTCCGTACGGTTAAACTTGCCGGCACATGAGGTGATTTGTTTACTTTGTGCCTAGGAGTGAACAAAAAGTAAACAAAGCATTGAATCGGAAATGAATCGACGTGGGAAAACACTATAAGTGTTCCATTCTATTATAAATGTGTGGCTTTATTGTGTGGCTGTATTATATTATGTGTGGCTCTTTTAATAGCGGAGGAGGAGGACAAAACGTAGAAAGCGCCAACAACATTTTGAAAGAGCGTACCAGCGGGAAAGAATCAAGAAGAGACGCATTTTTATGAACGTGAGTATTTGATCTTGAAACCATCATGATTTGTAATGGTTCTGCCCTCAGATCCTTCTTTTGGTAATTTAATCCAGCAAAATACGATCGAGTGCCATAAAATACCATCAGCTGATTTTCTAAGATTAATTGGCAGGTTTTTTTTTGAGCGTACCGCTGCTAGAAAGCAGTATGTGCTCGAAAACATTTCCTATGCATTTCCAAATGCTAGGCTTTTGAATGAAAAATATGGTACGATAAAAACAGCTGACTAAAAACCTCGTCTATTTCCCCGAATTTAGTATTTTTGTACCTGAGTAGGCCCAATCGATATGTACATGTCAGAACTGTAATCGTCGCCATTTTTATTTTACTTCCGAATTCAGTGACTTGTCTGGGATTTTCACACGCTGTGAAAACGAAAAATTGTGTCTAAGAATTGAATTTGGTTTCGGTTTATAAGTGCATTAGGCGTTGTTAAAGTAATTAGATAGTGACTAATTAATTAAGTGCACGTGAAGATGCCCGAATTAGGCAAGAAGGTAACCGAGTTGCGTGTCTGCGACTTGAAAGATGAGCTAGAAAAACGCAAGCTGGACACTTTGGGTCCAAAGGCTGCGCTCATCGATCGCTTAGAAAAGGTAAAGTGTACACCCGCCCCCATTTATTTCTCGTTGAACAAAGAAAAGGCGCACTCAAATCCGTTTAGAAGCTTGACGAAAAATGGTTGTGCAATTTCGTATGCCTGTGTGTGTTTTATGTTTTTCTGTTGTATTTTTCCAGGCAATAAAAGAGGAAGGTCTAGACCCGGCCACCCATTTGATTGTGCCGGCTGCAAAGGTAAAGAAGAGCACAACAGTGCCCACGAGCGAGAATGAGAGTGGAATTAAAATAAAGGAGGAGCCCGTCGATGAAGACGAGCAAGGGGAGGCAGGACCTGATAATGGTGATGACCTTTCCCGTCATGACGAACAGGATGGCCATGAAATAGATCAGGTGGGCGACGTGGACGACGTTTGTGTGATTCTTGACGATGATGAAGAGGAGGAGGAATACGACGAAGAGCAAAACGGCGAAGGTGAGGCCGATGGCGAGGCCGAGGATGTCCCAGAAGAGGGCGATAACAACGGTGAAGCCGACGCCGTTAATGATATTCAAGAAGAGGAGGAAAACACCGGGGACACGGTGAACCTGGACAACGACGAGTCCATCAATCTAACAATTGGTGAAGACGAACAAAAACTGCTGCACGATGAGGTGACTTTGAATAAATTGAATTAAATTCAATTACAGTTTTCTAATCTAATTTTGTATTGTATTGTCCCCAGGCTCCAGATGACAAATCCATCAAGTCGGGTGAGTGTAGAAGCATTTCGGCTGATCCGTCGCTTAAATATGTATAAGATTCAAAGCACAGTAATTTATGAGGGAAAAATCTTTGATTCACAGTGAAACCAGCCAATAAATCAGATAAGACTAACTCGAAAGATGCCGATAAGAAAAATGAAAAGAAAAAGGATGAAAAGTCTGCTGATAAAAAGGACACCAGGTTAGTGTCCACCAAAATCTATAGAGTCCGATTCAAATATTTTTTCCCCTGCTAATGAGTTTATTTAAATTTATTTTTCAGTGATCAAAAATTATCTTCAAAGTCGTCCAGCCAAAAGGATGATAAAGGTAAATTAAGTTAGCGTTTCCGCATGCATATCTCCGGTGAAATTCGGAGAGTTGCACGTTGGGAAAGGGGATATGCTTGGGCCAAGCAAGATCCGAGTTTAAGGTTCGATCAACTTTAAGGTTGAGTAGACGAATATGTGAAATAGTTTCGTGCAAGAGAGTGTGAATTTGGTTGGGCCAACAAGGAGTGAAGGGCCAGCCCCCCTACCCCACATGCATGATGAGGACAAGACGTGTGCAATGGAGCAGCGTTGGATTCCCCATGGACACATGAGCAGCATTGCTGAGGCAGAGAGAGTAGAGTGTTTGTTCCATGAAAATGTGAAGAAAATATTCAAACACATCTATGACAGCTTTGATCCTGGAATGTCAATGACTGAAAGTGAATCAAAAAGTTTCGATTGGAGATAAACTACTACCGGCATCTGGACTAGCAGGACATCTCAATCAAATGAAAAAGGAACGAATCAGAGCAGACCACAAAAGGAGTTTCCAGCTACGAGAAATTTCGCTTTAAAGGACACAGACACACACACACACATGGCGCAGGGATGACGCAGAGATTCAGGGTAACTTTACTCTCTTCCCAGGACTTCCTGTTCCAGCCACTGACGAAGACGAAGACTACAACAATCCAAGCAGCAGCAACCCAAACAAATTCACACTCTCTTTGCTTCCTTTTTTTCCTGGGGCGACGGGTTCTCTATCGAAGAAAGTCTCATGATGTTTACGCTCTAAACTCCAACTCCACCAACACCAGCCAGCTACAAGATGTGTGTGTGTGTTTTTTGCCAAAAAATGCTTCCCTTAAAGATCGTATCATAAACCAAAAACGTTAACCGTTAACCAGTTACAGCCACTCCTCAAAGCTCTGACCATAACACTCTCTTCCAATATTATTATTTACATGGAACTTGCAGAGAAATCAGCGACAGCAGCCGCTGGGGCAGCTTCGTCCGCCGCATCGAGTGCCGCTGGCAGCAAGTCCGGATCCGGTTCGGGCACGGGATCGGGTGCTGCCGGATCTGTGGGGGCAACATCAACATCCTCCGCGTCCAACAGCAAGGCGACGACGCTGTCACGCAATCTCTGGGTCTCCGGCTTGTCCACCCTCACGCGGGCCAGCGACCTCAAGGCGATCTTTTCCAAGTTCGGCAAGGTGATCGGTGCGAAGGTCGTGACCAACACACGCACGCCCGGCACACGCTGCTACGGCTATGTGACCATGTCCTCTTCGGCGGATGCCTCGCGGTGCATTGAGAATCTGCACCGCACCGAGCTGCATGGACGCATCATATCGGTGGAGCGCACCAAGAACGAGATCGGGGGAAGTGCCAGCTCCAAGGATGGCAAGGGCAACAACACCAACAACAAGGCCACTCAGGGGCAAGATGGCAAGAAGAAGGATGACGAGAAGAAGTCTGGAGGCAATGGCGGCGGCAAGGGCAGCCACAACGGCAACGCCGAGAAGAACAGCAAGAACAACGATGGAGGCGACACAAAGTCCGCCAGCGGTGATTCCAAGCGCGACGGCAAGGACAACAGGGAGCGTCACCTCAAGCGTCGTGACGACAAGGACAAGTCTGTCAGCCGCGACAGGCGTCACGATCGCGAGACTTCACGATCCGGGCCAGGCGGCAACAGCAAGCGTCAGGGCTCCAATCAAGACATTCATCGTTCGGGGCGCAATCCGCGCGACGTAGACCGTGAGATCCAGGCGCGCCAGCGGGACCGGGAGCGCCGTCAACGTGAGATGCTCTCATACCGGAAGATACGTGAGGAGCGCGAACGCCAGCGTCTGCGTGAACGTGAGCGCGAGCTGCGCGAAGAGGAACGCCGTCGTCGCGAGGCACGCGAACGCCAGCGCATCGAGGAGGAGCGCCTAGCGGAGGAGCGACGCAAGCTGGCCGTCGAGCGGGAGCGGCTCGAGCGCGAGAAGGCCGAGCTGTTGCGCATGGAGCGGGAGCGCCAGAAACTGGAACGCGAGAAAATCGAACTGGAGCGCCTCGAGCTGAAGCGTCAACAGATGAAGTATGCTAAAAAAACAAACAAAACCAAACATAAAACAAATCCGTATTGCGTCATGGCACGGCACACGTTCGTTCCAACGCCCTAGACAACACAGTTACTTATAGATATAATTATTTTCACTGCCGGAGAGCATTTGATTTGTGTGTTTAAGCTAAGTTGCAGCTGCCATCTCCACGTTGTTGATGTTTCCTCAACTCCGAACTGCTTCAGAAACGGAACATTGATAGGCAAATGCATTGCATCCTAGTCTAAAGTCTGATGTCCTCTACGCTGACCCTCTCCCCATCTATCCATTACCCGAAGATTATTAACTAAATTTACGTTTCCTCTTTTCATCTTTCTTCCTCTCACTCTTGTTTGGCCATCAGGATTATGGAGTCGCGCGATGATACTGTCAAGCGTGCCGTGGCCAAGCGTGCGGATGATCGTTACGGTGATGTACCCGATCGCAAGCGCAGTGGCCTATTTGATGCCCCACCTCCACCACGATTCGATGCATCTCTAGTCAGCTCTCGCAGGTGAGTGTTTCTTTGCTCTACAATAGAAGCCTTTTTGTTAAAACTTCCCTCATTTGCCGCTGTAGCGCTTATGATAAGAAGCATGATGACTATGGCTCCTCGTCGGCCGCCAAGCGCGTGATAGACGACTACTCGAGCACCAACAAGCGTCTGGATTATACGAACAAGCGCAACGATTATGCCACATCGTCTGCCTCGAAGCGTGGAGCTGTCGATGACTATACCACAGTGCCGAGCAAGCGTTCGAGCGGCAATGACTACAGTGCCTCCAGCTCGAAGCACGATTATAGCTCGTCAAGCAAGCGTGAGGACTACAAGCGCGAGGTGGAGGTGCGTCACATGCCCATATCGGCCAGTGCCGGTGGCTCGAGCAGCTCCTACTTACACAAGACCAATGCCAGCGGTGGTGGTGGTGGAGCCAGCTCCTATGTACACAAAAACAACGCCACTGGAGGCACTGGTGGTCGCTACAATGACTCTGATCGGAGCAACACCTCCAACTACCGACGCGACGATTCCCACAGCCTGCAGCAGTAAGAGAGAGCCTTTCAAATTGTTTAAGTCTAATTCTATTCGTTTTTAGTAGCGGCGCCAAGCGTTATGACAACTCCACCAGCAGTGGAGGCGGCGGCGGCGGCTATGGCAGCAGTTCGAACAATGTCAACATTTGGGCGCCCTCCTCGGGTGGCTCACACCTGGGATCCAGTGGCGGACCGATCAAGTCCTACGGCAATGGCATGTCCTCGAATATGCATAGCAACAATTCGTGGCCGAAATCAACCACAGTCGAAGACAATGGCTGGCGCCAGGTGCCAGCCCAGAGCCGCTTTGATCGCAGCTACAATGATCGTTCCACTGGCGGATATCAGGGCAACAGCGGCGGCGGTGGCGGTGCTGGGGGCATGTACGGCGGCAGTCGCCCGGCCCAGGACCGCTACGGCAATCAGGTGTCACGCTATTAGGCGGCTGACAACGGGCAATGTGCATTTTGTTAGGCAATAGATGACGCGCACCCTCCACCACCAACAACCTATCTTGCTTCCCCGCCCTTCCACTGACTTTCCCCACACAGCGCCATGGAGCGCTATCTCTATACTTTAGCTTGTTTTAGCAGTAGATTAAGTTTCTACAATTACATTTGAAAACCAATAAATGTATTAACAATTAAAATATGATTTAACATAAGCATCGAAGCGAGAACCTATGACTGATTCGCGGCTAGGGACAATCCCCCTCATAGGACGATATAAGCGGCGTGGTTGTATCCACCAAAACGAGGACACTGTGCGCCAAGGGATAGACATCATGGACCTGCACATAATAGCCACGTTCGCACTGCTCCTTGGAGGAATACAGACTGCCAAAGAACAAGAGATTGCAGCGGATTGGTAAGCAGGAAGTAGATTAAACGTGACTAAACCTACGCCAATATATCCACCGGTTCCAGTATCAATTCAGACTTGTAGACCGAAGCCAGAAAATTGGTGAACGCCGCCGTATTGTTTCCCAGATCCATGTCCGAGTTGGGAGTGCACACCTCGAGGCCCAGGCCACTGCTGCTGGACCCGATCTCGGGTAGGCCATTGCGAGTGCCCCAAACGGTGATGATGTTATCCTCAGAGGCCACAATCGTGCACTGATCGCTGCAGTTGGCCTTCTGCGGGAGGATCAGTAATCAGCAGGAGGGAAGTTGGAGAGCAGAAAATCGACTACAAACCACAATGTAGCGAGAGCGTACAGCCTCCACCAATGTGGGCTGATCCACTTGATTGCAGTGACGAATGCCACGCTGACCCTCTGTGTTGCGGCCCATGGTGTAGACATAGCCACCCTCCAGCAGGAAAACCGAGTGAGTGGACGAGAAGCTGGCCTTTAGCACTTTGCTCGGCAGTTGGATTTTTTTCTGTAAGCAAAAGGAATGAGGAGCAGAGTGGGACGAGAAGTGCAGGAGTACTCACAAAAGCTGTAATCTTGCCGGGACGATTGAAGCCAAGTTTGTAGTAATTATTGCTGCCACATGCATGCAGCTCTCCATTGGCGAACAGCACGGCCGAGGTGTCCGGTCCGCAGAAGATCTTCGTGGGCTTGGTCTTCACATGGGATAGCAGGATCTTCTGGGGAAACTTCCTAAGGAGACAAAGAGGGCAACGGATTGTGATGCTTTCTGCTCCCTTCACTCACTGCTGCTGCTGATAGTTGCCCAGACCGAGGGCTCCGCTAACACTGGTGCCCCACACATAAACGGCGCCCTCGCGACTCAGGGCCAGGACATGATGCAGACCGGCTGCCAACTGCTCAATGCGAACATCCGCCAGCTTGGCTATCAGCTTGGGACTGTGGTAGTTGCGCTGCTCGTCCTGGCCGAGCGACAGGTTCGAGTTGCTGCCACAGCTGAGCAGACTGCCGGACTTGGTGACCAGAATGGTGAAGGCATCGCCCGCACAGGCACCCACCACATGATAGTTGCGCACGCTCTCCATGCGGCTGGGATAGTGCTTCCAGGCCTCCAGCGAGGTCAAACCCAGTTGCCCGTGGGTGCCCTCGCCCCAGGCATACGCTGATCCATCCTCGTTCACCACCACAAAGTGGGAATCGCTCATGGCCATGCCCACAATGACAGCCTTTGGCGGCAGCTGAATGGGAGACATGCTGAAGGAGTTCCCGAATGCCTTTAGCTGATACAGCACCGATCTAAAAGAGCAGCAAACAGGAGTCAAGTGGAATAATTACTTTGAATGTCAAAACCCAACCTCTTCTCCAGAATTTCATGTGGCGCGGCTGTCTCCGCGCTCATCAGCTGCTTGGTTTCCGTCTGGGCGGTGGGCAGCTCCAGCTCCATGGTTACATTGCTGCGGGCAGCCATGGGAACAGTAACTGCAAGCTGGTTACCAGTGCTGCTAACTTCATCCTCATAAGAGTAGCTACAAAAAGAGAAGTTATAGATCATCTAGGGTATCCATAAAGTAATAATATTCTCTCACCCTTTGTTCTTTCCCAGGCTACGAAATATCAGTGGTATCCAATAGACCAACACTTCAGAGGCAGTGGGTCGTCGGGCGGCCTCCACTTGCAGCAGGTTCGACATGAGACTGCACATGCCGGAGGTATAGCCAGAGGGCACAGGCGTATAATTGCCGGCCATTATTTTGGTGACCAGTTCGGAGAGATTGGTGGCAGCGAATGTTTTCTTCAGGCAACACATTTCGCCCAGAATGCAGCCGAGTGCCCAGATGTCGCTCTTGTTGTCATACTCCTTGCCCTCGCACTGGAAATCGATCAATAGAGAGTATCAGCTGAAGAGACTACCTGTTAATGGAGGCACATACCATCTCGGGACTGAAATAGTAGGGCGTACCCAGTACGGTCTGGGCATGGATCTTGGTGTTCATTATCTTAGAGATTCCAAAATCGCCAAGCTTGACAATGCCCCGTCTATTCAGGAAGACATTGGCGCTCTTCAGATCCCTACAATCGATAGATGAAACAGCTAAAGACCTTCGAGTGTCTAAAGGTAAAGCCCTACCTATGCAGAATATTCTCGGAATGCATGTAGTTGATGGCACTGGAGACCTGCTCGAACACAGCTATGATGTACCGCTCCGGAAAGTGATGCAGGCCCTGACGCTCGGCAATGATTTGGGCCAGGGTGCCACCATCCGCGTACTCCATTTCAATCAGCAGCGTGTTGTCCTTGATGAAGCTGCCCAGATAGCTGACAATGTTCGGATGATGGAGCTTCGAGAAAACGTCCACCTCGTTCATGGCCAGATCCCTGCCCGGTGGCGTCAGTTCGCTCAGATTTATCTGCTTGAACACGATCTGATGACCGTCGGACTTGCGGCGGTACAGGATGGCAATGCCAAAGGAACCCTGTCCGACGACACGAACCTTATTGTAGTTGGCCAGCTCTGGGCCCGCAATGCTGATGGTCTCCTTGGGCACACCCAGCTGCAGCATGACTTCCTGTCTGCCCGCCTGCTGGTGCAGCTGTGGCGCCTTGTTGCTAGACATGGCCTCGGCCAACGAGGTGTTGGCAGCCCCTGTGGTGCCGTCCGTAATGGTGTACACTGTTGGCTGCACACGGGTGCAGGTGGGCTTCTTTTGAGTCACTGCCACTCCTCCACCCAGCGGCAGTTTAAGTGATGTCGTGGTCAAGGTTGTGGCATCCGTTATCCTGCCATTGAAGATGGGCAGGGAGCTCGCCTTAGCGCGCAGTTTTTTCATCTCCCAGACACAACCAGCGGCCGTGGGCGTATAAAATCGAATCGAATCGCAGGTCCTGTCTATTGTATAATTGTCCTCTGGCATGTGGGTGCCAGAGTTGTGGTCAAGCCCGTTGCTAGGCGCCGCACCGCCAGCAGTCTAATTGTTATCAGTCATTCGAATAATTGGACACCTCCACAGGGAGGGGAATGGCAGCAGCAAAGTGCAATTATCGTATAAGAAATGCCAAGGGAAGGCGCACATATTGAAGGTAATATTTGCACGAATGCTAATCTGATTGATTGACGTTAAATGAATTAAAATGATAAATACCAGAAAACTATTTTTAATAAAAGATAAATGACTAAACCAATATATCATAAATCTATGTGAATCTATGTTCTAGAGACAATATTTGCACTCAACTTGCTTGGGAAACCCATTAACGAAAGCACAAGGAACAGTCATTAAAGTTTTGCCCATTCTGTAATGAATTCTCTGTACAAATAGACATTTAAATACTCACCTAAGAATAGAATGAAACCAAACCTTATCATAATCTAAAGTAAATGGATTTCGTTTCGTTTCTTACGAGTATAAATGTATTTTTAGCATTAGATTATAATTATTGGAATCGAGACAATATGCATGTATAATCGACCTTGTTATGGTATTTGCAGGAATATGCTAAAATATTTATGCTATGTTTCTTGGACTATCTGTACCCTTAAAATGCACAATCTGTATTGTACATACACATACAATATATCGAATTTAATACAGGCATCCATTGCCACCCATCGACCCTCTTATTTGCATTTAAAATGTTCATCTCGCGCTTTGGTTTCGTATTATTTCTGTTGTAATATCTTGGCATTTGGTGTGCGCCACATACTTGGGCTACAATGCAGCTTCAACAGCTTTGGACAACTTGGTTCTCAGGTTTTCTGTATTCGGTTTGCGGTTGCGATCGCATTTCGTGTATCATCTAACATCTAGCAGGTGCAGCGATTCTCGCCGGATAGACTGCCAAGGCTGAAGGTGCCGAGGCCATTCGATCCAGGGGATTTCTTGTCTTTGTTCTCCTCGTTGTCAAAGTTGTCGCCCTATAAATAAACATAATTTCAATTAAACATCTCTAGGGCTAGATATTTTCTTTTTCTGCTTACCCGTCGCTCTCGTTGTTCGCGTATTTTGCGGGCCAGCGACAGAAACGCATCTTCAATGTTGATATTCGATTTGCACGAGACCTCAAAGAAGGGCATGTCAAAGTTTTCAGCTATCTGTTGGATATAGACTCCAGGATTATTAGTGTATACCCAAATAATATCTCGAAAGTTGCACGCACCTTTTCACCCCTGTCCTTGTCGACCATTCGCTGTGTGGTGGAGCATTCGCATTTGTTACCCGCCAGCACCTTGACCACATCTGGCGAGGCATTCTCCTGGATGTTGCGCAACCAATAGGACAAATTGTTATAGCTCTCCAGATTGGTCACATCGTACATGAGCAGTATGCCCATAGCGCCACGATAATACGCTGTTGTCAATGTACGAAAACGCTCCTGCCCGGCCGTGTCCCAGATTTGCAGTTTTATGGGCACACCATCGAGATTAATCAGTTTCTGCTTGAAGTCTATGCCTGCGAGAGAGGAGATAAAAAGATAAAAGATGTAACATATTTGCAGGGGGGGATGCACTCACCGATGGTGGAGATGTATGTGTCGTAGTATTTCTCGTCGCAGTATCTGTGCACAATGCACGTCTTGCCGACATTCGAGTCCCCTAGCACCAATATCTTATATGTGGCCACAAAGTCCAGTGCCATGATGCCAGTATAAACAATTTTGATGGCAATATTTAATACAACTATTTATGGGGTAGTAGGCTTTGCTTTTTCTTTCAGTTACGAATGTGCGCCCTGCTTCTGAGGTTGTTTTTGTTGGTGGTGGGGTTTTCGTAGAGGTGGTGGAAGTGGAGAGGCGGTGGTGGTGGTGGTGCTTTGGCTCTCCTCTCACCCGCGGGGAGAGGGGTTTATGTATCTGTTTGTTTGCTAAACGCAGCTGTTTCTCCTACGACTGCAACGGCGTCATGGATATTTACAGTCAATTTTACCGTTTCCTCCTGCACTCAGCTGAACCTGTCAGAGAGAGAGAGAGAGAAAGAGAGCGCGAGAGAGTGGGGCACGTCACGGAGAGAGAGAGCAGTTCGCGCGAAACAATCGAAATGCAAGAATTTTGTAATTGACAACTGCACTTCCCTTTTGCTTTGCTTACTAATCGTGTAATATAATTTGTATTTGATTTATTTTAGGCTCGTTATATTATATATATAGATGTATGCATAATCTTCCACTTAGAGGAATCAAATAACGTTTGTTCGCGTGTGATTCAGCCTCGGCCACCGACTGCTGCTGCTGCCCTGCTCTGCGGAGGAAATCAATACAACCGCGACGGCGCAGCAGTAGGCAGACGTAGTAGCAGCGATTGACATCAATCGAAATCGAAATTCAAATGCGCAGTTCTTGGCGAGGGGGGCGCGCTGCAGTTGCGTTACTTCTTAATACCATAGATAGGTGTACAGTACATAATAATCATAGATATGGGAGTTACATATTCAAAAATAGAGTCATTCATTGCTTAACTTAGTGATGAGGGTTTAGGTTAACGTTAGAGTCCAGGATTCGGGGCTTACATCACAAAGACCTTCTCGATTTTGGGATTCGAAAACTTGGTATTGGTCACGGGACAGGTGACGGTGCCATCGTCTTTGGTTATGTCGGTGAGAGCCATCTGGCCAAAGATCTGGCCGTTGGGCAACATCATGGGCTGGTTGTGCTCGTTCAGTGGCAGGCCCGTCACCCGGCAGATGAGGCGACTCTGCACACAGTGCGAATATGGCAACTTGAGGGCGATGCGATTGAGATCATCCTGGCAGACGGGGCAATTGAGATTGCGGCAGGTCTGGGTGTAGCAATGGGGCGTCTTCAGTGCGGAGAGGCCAGCCTGGACGGCTGCCGAGAAGACGGAAGTGCTGGACAGCTGGAAGAGGCGGTAGTTCTCATGGCGAAAGTCCAGCACCAGCTTCTGCCAGCGCTGCGGGTCCATGTACTTCTTGTAGTGCTCCATCTCGGTGTCGGCCGGATAGGCCAGCAGTGACATCACATGGCAGATCTCGTTCAACTGTGTCTTCTCGTAGGCGGGGAAGTAGCGGCGCGAGTGCTTCACCGCCTCGAATCGCTGATTGTGACGCACCAGCTCAATGAACTCCTGCACCCGCAGGCTGAAATCTATGGTCGAGTTTATTTTGCGCAGTTTCGATTTGTTGTCAATGCACCAGAGCACGCATTTGGTGGTGCTGTGGTTGGCCAGGTCGTCCTCGACCTCGCGCGAGTTCTGGAATATGTCCAGATTGGTCAGATGGCGCACATCGGAGCGGGCGGCCAGCTCCTCGGCCGTCTCATAGTAGCCCATGCGCAATAGATGCTCGATGACCAGGCGGTCCAGGCGTATGCGCTTCCACTGGTCCACAGAGCCCTGCCACAGCTCCCCAGTGCCCGTGTTCGGAGGCATGATGCCCTTGAGGTGCTCCAGCTTGCGTTTGCATATCTGTGTGACGCTCAGCTCGTCATTGATGCTCTCCTCGGCCTTGCGCTTGAGCACCTGCAGCTTCTGCGCCACATTGCCCATCAGCTTGGTCACATCCGCCAGTACGGGCGGATCGGCGTCCAAGGCCTTATCCACCTGCCGCGATACGTTCATCACCTGGTCCACCTCTCGGTCGATTATCTTTTGGGCCGAGCGGAATCGCTTGTTCAGTATCTCGTATGGCACTTTTAGAGTGGCGTGCTCCAACGCCTTGATTTCCGACATTTTCCTTGTCCTTGTTTCGCAGATTTCCTTGTTAAATGGATTTATATTTGCTTGCAATTGAGACGCAATTGCAATTGCAATATAAAATATACCGTCTGACCCTCGGAAATATTCAGTAATATACCAAAACATATACTGTATTATATACTAATTATAGTAAACATACGGACTTAACCCACTTGAGCACCCTCTATTTAAATAGGTAAACAAATTTTACTTAAAAATAAAAGTTACTACGATATCTTTCATCTGAACTAATCTAAAATTCTTCATACTTCTTCATAATTTTTGTATGAAAATTTAGATACTCTCTGGTCGACAACGGGCGAACGGAAATTTTTGTTGATTCGAAATAAATTATCAACTCTGTACCAAATCGATGACTTCCTTCGCTTAACGTATCGATACTACCGACTGGGCGTACGATGACAATTTTGCTCCCCTATTTTCGTTTCTATCTGCAAAATTTCACCACTGAATGCAAATGCTGATACTGGGTATGATTATTAATTTGAAATGAAATCACACTTAAAGCGAAAGAGCTCTGGTTTAGCAGCATCACGAGTATCAATAGTTACATCAATGGTTTACAGTATACTTTATACTTTTCGGTATATTTTACATATATCGGTGCAAATATAGGTATATTTCGAAAACTATTCCGTATATTACGGTATATTTTAGTATATTTTCGAGGGTCGTTCGGTATACTTTAACGAAAATTCGCGGTCACACTTTCTTTTCTGCTTACCACGTTTCCGTGCGAGTTGTCAAAATGAATGCCAGCCTCCCAATTTCAAAGAAACGCAAGGTAATTTAACGCAAATCGCATTGGGAAATGCATAGGGTAGTGCAAAGCTTGCTTGCGTGTTAATTGCATAAAGTTGTGTGAAAAATCTGGGCGGAAAGTCGTTAAGTGAAGTGAATTCGTAGATAACCTCAAACCGTTGGATGGCCTGGCGTCAACATTTTGTTTGAGGCAGCGTGGAGCGGAGCACCTCTGCTGTCAATTGAATCACAACAAAAACTACAGAAGGGAGCGGTGGCAGTGGACTTTGGTGTGGAATAGTTGCTAACAATTGGTATTTTCATCATTTTAGTTCGTTTCCGACGGCATCTTCAAGGCTGAGTTGAACGAGTTCCTGACTCGTGAGCTCGCCGAGGATGGTTACTCCGGTGTGGAGGTGCGTGTGACCCCTTCCCGCACTGAGATCATCATCATGGCCACCAAGACCCAGCAGGTTTTGGGCGAGAAGGGACGCCGCATTCGCGAGCTGACCGCCATGGTCCAGAAGCGTTTCAACTTCGAGACCGGCCGCATCGAGCTGTACGCCGAGAAGGTCGCCACCCGTGGTCTGTGCGCCATCGCCCAGGCTGAGTCGCTGCGTTACAAGCTGACCGGAGGACTGGCCGTCCGTCGCGCCTGCTACGGTGTGCTGCGTTTCATCATGGAGTCGGGAGCTAAGGGCTGTGAGGTCGTTGTGTCCGGCAAGCTGCGTGGTCAGCGTGCAAAGTCGATGAAGTTCGTCGATGGCCTGATGATCCACTCTGGTGATCCGTGCAACGACTACGTCGAGACCGCCACCCGTCACGTGCTGCTGCGCCAGGGAGTGCTCGGCATCAAGGTCAAGATCATGTTGCCCTATGATCCCAAGAACAAGATTGGCCCCAAGAAGCCACTGCCCGACAACGTGTCCGTCGTGGAGCCCAAGGAGGAGAAGATCTACGAGACCCCCGAGACGGAGTACAAGATCCCGCCACCCAGCAAGCCCCTGGACGATCTGTCCGAGGCGAAGGTTTTGTAAACTTAGTTTTACTGTTCATCAAATGAGCGACTAGTCCAAGTCGCCCCGTAAATACAACAAACAAAACAAACCACAAAACACAGAAAACCCTATAAATTCAATAAACCTTCACAAGATAAATAGACTTTAAACGAGTATGAGCCGCCGAAGAATCAAATCGAATCGAGTCTCCTTTTTGTGCAGTGCAGTGTAGACCGCGAGGGTTGCCCCCAAAAGTTTCGAATGTCCAAAGTCGGGGTGTGAGTGTGTGCCTCTTGTGGCCTGCAAACCAGTTTGGAATATATTTTTATTTGTAATTCTCTTTAGTTTTGCCGAGTTTTTTTCTGTTCATTTACTTGCGTCTCTTGCAGTCTGTATTTCCATTTCTTATGAAGCGGAAATCAGCGATTAAAACGGCTCACATTTTGTTCCCTGCCTGATTTATGAGGTTGTCCTTCGGTTAGCGTGTAGCCGGGACTCTGTGTCCGGTGTCCGCTGATAACCTGGCTCGCTTATGGGTCTCTTATTTATCACGTTGATATGTTTATTTCCAAGTACTGTGACACGGCCCGGCCCCAAAGGCATCAGGGACAAGGCAGCGGCAGCGGCGCGGCAGCGTGAAAATCAACAATCGTTCAATTTTTCAACATTTCCGAGATTATAGCGAGAGCGCAAGAGAAAGAGATTCATGTTAGGGGCTTTTACATCGTGCCCATTTGAAACAAACTGAAATCGCAGCTGCAGCACACGATCCTCGCCCGATGACAAATGGCCACATGCAACACTCGCCTCCACACGTACTATGTACAGGGAGGAGGGAGGAGTAGCTGGTGCTGTCGCTGTTGCTGTTCCTGTCGGAGGAGGACTAGGGAGAGGCGGCTGTGGGCCATGTCTTGGCGGCATCACGCATCAAGTTGCGATTTTCGCAATAAATCTAAATTAGCCAACTCAAAAGCGGCTGGTTCCTGGTTTCCAGCACTATTACGATCACCCCTGCTATACTCTCTCCAGCTGATCCTCCTCCACTGCCACTTGGCCAATCAATTAGGGTCCAGAAGAAGCTAATTTTCCAAACCGATCTGCGGGACTGTGAGAAATGTTTTTGTTGCTGTTGGAATTTCCATTGTTGCTGGCTTTTTGTTGCTTGTTGGTGGATTTCAACGCTCGCATAAATCATAGAACCTTTTTAAACACGACTTTGAACGTATGATTTCAACACAAATTTGTAAATAAATTAGATCGTGATTATGGCCAACATCAATATCTATCTTCAACGTCATCGGCATCTCCCCGGCCTCAGCCACGGCGGCGCGAGCAACATTATTAACCGGCCAATGTCTGACATGTGTGTGTGGCTGCCATAGCTCTCCTCTCCATATAGACAGACGGCAATAATACTAACTATATATTATAATGGCATAAACCACAACAGCCGCAGCAACAACAACAACAAAAAGCAGAAAACGAAAAGGAATACAGCAACAAAAACTCGACAATTGCCGTCAACAAGTCTGCAATGTCGGCAGCAGCACCAGCAACGTGTTGCTAGTCGCATGTTGCAGTTGTCTCACAGCCTGTGTGTGTGTGTGTGTGTGTGTGTTTGTGTGTCTGTACAACATGCATATTGTCTGTCGCGGGGCTGCACAGGTTCATAACTTGCCCGTCAGCTGCCAGAGTTCTGGTGCAAGCAAATCTGTTGCAGCTAGGACGCACTTTTTATACACTTTGTTTTTAAAATCCGAAAGATAATTCAGGAATATGGGAAGGAAGACTTCAGGCAATGTTCAGCATATCTAATCTAAAGTAGTTGCCAAGATATATTGGAAATTGCAAGACTCAAACTAAATTCATTGAAATTAAACACCACCTTGGGAAAACCGTATTTAACATTCTGATAGGGGAATCTACTAATTATCCATTATCATGCTGATCAGTATTTATGATTCTATGATCAATGGATCCACTTTGTCTCTCATGCTCATCCTTATGAGCAAACTTTTTCCAGCTAATTTGCAAGAAAATCAAAAAATTAATGAGCTACTTGAATGGACTTCCCTTAAAGTACTTGCCACAGTCAGCTTTTCCCACGCTAAACACAATTTTATAGAAGCATTTAATGCCTTATCCTGTTCTTTGATAAATACCATACTGGAAGATCTAACCTTCAGCCGCACCACAAGCCGCATCCATCGTGGAGTGGATCCATAGACCCCATGGCCGTGGCAAGTATACAATAACAATGGCATCATAACTGTAATAGTTGCAACTTGCAACTACAACGAGTATTTTGTATTTCTATAAGGCATAAGGCTCTGCTCTGCTCAGCTCAGCTCCGTTCGAGTCTCTGCTCTGGCTATATTTGCTTTGATTTACCAACATTATTATGAGGTTTTGTGTCATGATTTTGCCATCATTATTTAGCATTAAGAAACGCTGGCTGGCGCGTAATGTGTTTTTCATGTGAACTGCCGGGCCAGACGACATTTATCATCATCATCAGATGCTGTTGCTGTTGCTGCTTCTGCTTGGAGTTTGGTCTGTAGCGGCTGCCTCTGACTGGTAATAGCCACGTTTGGCAGCCTCCTCCACGATTGTTTGGAGTGCGGCAAAGGCTTCGCTGGCCGTGGGCTCAATCTCCACAGCGGACAAGATGAACAGATCCTCACTGTCCGGTGGTCCGCGCAGCTCGTACGAAAAGGTAATGGGCACCTGCAGCAGTCCATGAATCCAGTCCTTGGATCCGCCGCTGGAGGGATAAATGGTCTCATAGATGCTGCCACTCCTGTAGATCCGTCCACTCTTCTCCTTTATCCGTTGGGCTGCCAGCTGTCCGATCTCCTTCAGATCTTCATAGTTCTCCACGCGCTCTGGAGTGTGGCCATAGGGAAACATTATCAGCTGGGAGTAGCTGTGCAGAGAAATGAACGTTTTTATGCGCTCCGACTGGACGTGATCCTTGAGGAACTGAACGAGACGCTGTGTCTCCACCTCGCTGCCTGCCGACGGCCCTGAGTAGTCATAGCGACAGGGGTCGCCACTGGCCCCCGTAACGTTCCAGTGAAAGGGAAAGTTGCGGTTCAGATCCACGCCACGACAGATGCCAAAGAGCGAGCGATTCTTGCGCCACATGCGATCGCCCTTGAAGGTGTAGCGATAGCCATCGGGATTGACTGTGGGAAATATCAGCCAGTTCTGGGAGCGGGCCAGAGCCTGCACAGCCGCATCCTTGGAGTTTAGCAGCTGATCGATGAAGTACGTGGCCGTGGCCGGGGCTATCCATTCGCGGGCATGTATCCCGCTCTCCACAAAGACGCTTGTAAGGTTCCCACCACCAAAGGCAATTCTTACACCCTTGATGGGTAGTCCCTGGGTGCTAGCACCCAGATCCACCAGAGTCACCACCTCTGGGCGCTGTTTGGCCAGATGCTCGAGCCAGGCATAGATGCTGTCCAGCTGAAAGTAGCGCCTCCAGTTAAACTGATCCGGTGGTGTGCCCTCGGGTGCCACCTCGCGGTAGTTGGCATCGATCAGTGCCTGGAAGTCGTGGTTCAGGATGCGGTGGCTCACGTTGTAGCTCTGAAGCAGATCATCAAAGTCGGCCACCTTGTGCGAGGTCACCATGATCGTCAGCTTCTGGCCCGGCACTCGGGCATGGCCCATGAACGAGCACGAATCGCTTGCCAGCTCCAACGCCTGGAACAGTTGGACGTGCTCCGCACTCGCCAGCTCCACTTGATAGATGCGCGTGTGGTCATATCGGGCCTGTGCCTGGACTTGCGCCTGTGCATGGGCACCAAGGTGACCAAAGGTCAGTGACAGCAACAGCAACAATCGACTGATCCACAACATCTTCACTCGCGTATGGCCAGAGACAGTTTAGTCGTGTTGCTTTTGTCAAACAACTGAAAGTGGAATATGCTAAGCAGAGTAAACACTGATAAGCAATAGTAGTGGTTGCAGGGTCCATCTATGGATACCCTATAATAAAACTTAAACTAGCACTCAAGCTTTTGCCCAATATGCTCCGTGCAGTAAAAGAATCGAGAGCAGCATGAAAACAAAATATTGTCTCATCCCCAGAAAATATTCCCGTTTTGAGATAAGCTTTGACGAAGAGCTTTTCACTGCGTTTGCTATTCCCGTTTGGAGATAAGCTTTGAAGAAGAACTTTTCAGAGCGTTTGTCATTCTGCTCTCTCCAAGCTAACGCATGTTGAGTAAAAGTTTATATTTTAATTTAGTTTTACCGAAATCCATCGTATCACCGACTTGTTTCGAAATGTTTCCTGAATATCATCTGCCAGCCTTGATCATTTTCGCACGGCTGACAGTTTCCATGTAGAGTTTTATGTTCTTTCTGAAGATTTGTTCTCTCTGCCTCCTCTCTCTTCCTCTCTTCCTCTATCTTCCCAGCTCTTCTCTCAGATGCTGCTCCTCTCTATCTCCCTGCAACAGACCCAACGGCAATCGATGTCAACGATTTATGAGCATCTTTCATAACACTTCATTAGTTACATTTTTGGTTGAATTTATAGCGCAATTGCAATCGGAAAACGTTTAACGAGCTTGTTCTGGGCATTCGCTGATGGTTGACAGAGGGGGAGAGGGTGCTGGGGGATCCGAATTTGGTCAGAGCAATCGGTGGCAACAAGTGCGCGTTGCAATGGCGCAACTTTAAGTCCAGCAGCGCCGCGTTGCGTCTTCGTTTCCTCGTGTGTCTGTGCCAGCAAATAGAAATACTACGAGTATGCTGCCAACACGAGAACCAATTAACGTGGTATGTATTTCCCTTTAGCCCCCCTCCGAACACAAAGTTGGAAATATTTGGCGCTGCTAATAGAGCTTAAATGGTAATGTGGTTCAAGGTTTCAACCGAGTGTACTTTGTGTAGACAGTGGAGATCTTCTTCGGGGGGTAGGCAGTGATGCAAAGTAAATCCTTAATTTTCCAGCTTCTGGCATGTTCAATTATAAATTATGCTCGCCCTTAAGTATCTTACCCGAGAAGGTTTCACTTTCAATTTACCAATGCTTTCCGCCATGTCTACCAATAGACAGTTGAACAATAATTTGTTATACAACTGCTGCCACCATCCGTCTATACATCCAACCAACCAACCAACCAACCAACCAACCATTCATTCCGT